GGGAGGCACTTGTCTAAAGTTGAGGACAACCTTCTACAAAGTTTCTGCAGCCTCTGAGGCTTCCAGCAGCAATCATCTCTGCCTGAAGAAATAGAGACTTAAAGTCCCCTTCCAAGGATCGCTGCCCTTAGGTGTCATAACTGTCTCTCTCATAACTATGTCAGGCTTCCTCTCTGGACCTTAACCCTGGTTCCCATAACCAGCGCCTGCCATGGGAGCACAAGGGGCACCATGACATGTTTGACGACAGATGTTTGAATGGGCCATAGTAGTAACCCACCAAATTCACATTTCAAATTCAGAGAACCATTGGAGACAGCTATGGAGTCCCACTAGACTTCCAGAGAGGCACCATTTCATCAGAAGCAGCATTAAAACCACTCCAGGGCCAGTTGGGTGGCGCAGCGGTTAAGTTCGCACGTTCTGCTTCTCGGCAGCCTGGGGTTCATTGGTTTGGATCCCGGGTGTGGACATGGCACCACTTGGCACGCCATGCTGTGGTAGGCGTCCCACATATAAAGTAGAGGAAGGTGAGCACGGATGTTAGCTCAGGGCCAGGCTTCCTCAGCAAAAAAGAGGAGGACTGGCAGTAGTTAGCTCAGGGCTAATCTTCCTCAAAAAAAAAAAAAAAGACCCAACACTCCACCCCATTCCCAGGCAATAGGAGGACTAGCTCCCTGAAGAAGGGAGAACATCTGACTTGTCCTACAAGATTGAGGGTCCTCCAAACACATCCCCTAGTGGGTCATGGTATGGTGACTGTCTCTTGCCTTAACACTGTCAAGACCACCTGTTGCTGCTAGGGTCTGGGGAAGGAGAAGGTAAATGCAGAGTGAAGAGATGGAGTGCTAGCATATGGCACAGGCAGCAGACACTGCTACCCACTAGGGTGGTGAGGATAAGAGAACATCCTGAGGGTTGAGTGGACACCAAGGAGGTGGCTAGGCTTGAATTTCTTGTACCATTAACCAAAAGCTGCAAGGTAGGCTTCTTGGAGCAGGAGCTGAGGAAGGGGTAGAAAAGGGTCCAGCCTGAGCCCATCTCTCATGGCAGGGAACTTGTGACCAAACAGCAGCATTTGAATACCTGCCAAGCAAAGGAACCAATGGAGGGTTGGTATCAGGCAGAGATGCAGAGAGAACCAAGAGAAAGGGGCCTTCAGTCTCCCCCGACGTTAGGGCCTAATCACAAATGGAGGATACATTGTAACCAACCAAAATTGGGGCAAGTTCGCATGGCAGCCATGAGGAGGTGCCTCTCAGGTCTCCAATTGCAGGGGGTATTAATTAAGCAATGACCTCAGTTGCTGCACTCTGAAATCCTGTCACTGTGTTCCACAACTCACACCAAAAGCAGGCCTCCCACAGGCTGCTCCCACACTATGACTGGGTGTGGCAGGGATAGTAATTTTAGGCTCATTCTTGGGATATGCGGGACTCCTCTGGTGGGCGATTTGGGCTAGGAGGACTCCCCAACAGCCTTGCTAAATTCTTCTTAGAACTGGACTGACATCAAAGATGCCTCCACCCCGCCTCCCTTCCTCCCATCTCTCCCTCACTGGAGTCAGACCTGCATCACAGTCTGACAGCTCTTCAGCCTTCTCCAGCTCCCTCCCCATTTTCTCTCACAGGCCTTTTCTCTAATGAATTTCTTACTCCTGTCTTGGTGTCTGCTTCCCAGAGCAACCGGACTAATTCAGCGCTCTTTCAAAGGTGGTCTCAAAGTGAAGGGTCTCTGATGCCTCTCCTCCTGCCTCCAATACTGATGGGGAGGTGCAGAGAGGAGGGGCATGGGCGTGAGGACAGACAAGCCACCTGTCAAAGAAGACTTGCACCAGACAGAGTTCAACAGGCAAGAAAGACTTTATTCAAGACTGTTATAATAGGGGAGAGAGATGTGAGCTCAACTCCAAATATAACAGGGACAAGTGGGGATTTCTAGCCAGTGGACAGGGTGATGGCCTGACTGGAGGGAAAATTACTAAGAGCACCTTGGCTGGATATCAAGGGGTAGGGGCGATTCTTGATAAACTGGTTTAGCAGAATTCTTCGCTAAAACTAGGCTGGGCAGGCTAAAGACAGGCCAAGGATGACCTAGTTGAAAAGAGGGCTCAGAAGAACCTAAGATTTGGTGAAGAAAAGAGCCTTGTCACACCCTATGCCAAGACACTGGACCCACCAGGCCAGCCTGCCCCAGGAGGTTGGTGGGGGGTCTTTGAATTGAATGTTAACTGAAGTTTTTAAAACAAGCACAACTGAGCCTGATCTGAAATGAGACTGTTTTGTTAGGTGATAGCTCCTCCAAAGTTGGAGAATTGGACTGCAATATCATTATTGGAGCCAGCTACCCAGAAGGCAAAGAAGGGTTGGTCAGAGCAGAGCTGGTAGCACCAATGGACACAGCAGGCATTCAAAAAACAAGATTGGAGGGGCCGGCCCGGTGGCACAGCGGTTAAGTTCGCACGTTCCGCTTCTTGGCGGCCCGGGGTTCGCTGGTTCGGATCCCGGGTGCGGACATGGCACTGCTTGGCAGCCATGCTGTGGTAGGCGTCCCACATATAAAGTAGAGGAAGATGGGCACGGATGTTAGCTCAGAGCCAGGCTTCCTCAGCAAAAAGAGGAGGACTGGCAGTAGTTAGCTGAGGGCTAATCTTCCTCAAAAAAAAAAAAAAAAAACAAGATTGGAGGAAAACTTGAGCACGGCCTGAGCAGGCTCCTCAGGAAAGCCTTTCTCCATGTGGCAGGCAGAATAATGGACCCCAAGATGTCCAATGACTGCTGTGAGCTGCCGGATGCTGAGGCAGGGGAAATAGGTTTCAGGAATCCTAAGATCCCCCCTCCATCTGGTGGGGGGAACACCTGAGCAAAGAAGTTAGACTGAAGGTGAGCTTGCAGGGCCCGAGGAGGGTCTGAGTAACTGGCCCACCTGAATGTCACTCATGCCTCCTACAGCACTTTCCCACAAAGACAGGAAATGGTCAACCTCCACAGCAGCTCCAGGGTGCAGTGCTCTCCCAGCTTCTGGGAAGAAGCCTTAATCCCAGGAAGCAGTCAAATCATGAGGTACCAACAGGCACGGGGCGTTTGTGTGAAAGATGCACCTTCACTCGCCGCTGTGGGGACCCAACAGATGGAATCTAAAACTCTGAGAAATAGGAAGCATCAAACCGCAGGCTCAGGTGAGGCACCACAGAGCAAGGATGTGATGAGAGCAGCCCAGGAAGCTGCAGATATGGGTTCCAGGACAGCAGCCCCAAGCTGGGCAGGGAAACCAAAGAGAGCTAGAATGCACTTTCCCAGGTGCACTCCTGTGCATCCAGAACCCCACAGTCTGAAACTGACTATATTGAGGCCAACATATCTATGTAAAGCTACATCAAATTTGGATTCCAAACCGAAATTTGAAACTGATTCTTTAAGTGAAATGGAGATAATAATAACACATGCCTTACAGGGTTGTTTGGATGATTAAATGAGATAATACCATCAGTTCTGCCATAACACTTGTTTTGAAAATGGGGATTTGGTCCAACACTATTAATATTGAGTATAATGCAAATTGTACATTTGATTATGCAACTTGTCCATGAGAAATACTAAGTGAATGCAGAAAACCACATCCATCTGAATCGAACTGCAGAGAAACACATAAAACCCACATGCACACACCTCAAACATCTGCCAGCTACCTCGGCACATCATGAGTTACGAGCCACACCCACCCACACCTGGTGTTACCACTGTCTGTCCAATTTCAGAAAACCTCATCCCACCTCTTCACAGTAACTCAAAAGTGGCAACGCTTCCAACATCCACTTCCACAAGCAAACTGCAGGTCTGTTTCAAAGTAAAGTGCCATATCTACTTTAGTATTTAGGTCTTTCTTAATATCTAACATGTGTAAAACTGTGCCACCATTTCCATTGAGTTCCTATATTTTATCTTTCTGTGTCACTGACAAAGTTTTTAAGTGTTATGCTCCAGCCCTATTTTTTCCATAAGCCCTGCAGTTGCACAATTTTGCAGTGTTGTGATTTTTAGGAACTAGTGTGTCATGTTACAGCAGAATTGACTGCATATGTAAAACACACAGCATGTGGTAAGCATTCAATAAATGTCAGCTGCTACTACTTTTATGACAATGACAATTATTATTGAAACTCTGGTGCTTGAATAACACTTGCCATTTGTTTTTCAAAGCTCTTTCCCAATTATGAATTCACTTTTATCCTCATGCTTTGCAGGTGGATTATTTTTTCAATTATACATAAAATAAATGCAAATCCAGAGAAGTTAAGTAATTTGCCCCAAATCACATAACCAAGCCCCAGCAGATAAAGGACTGTTCCTTGCCTTCAAATTTCTTCATGAAGAAAAAATACAGATATTACTTCTAAGCCTACATCCAAACGCTATAAAGCAAAGTACACATAGTGGACAGTGGGGAGTCAAAGGGGGGTGGGAGAGAGGGCATTTACTTATTAAAGGATCCCTGAAGAAGTGAATCAGGAGTTTGGAAAGAAAGTGGGCAGAAGGGAGAAAATTGCAGGATGGAGACAAATCAATGAATAGCAGGGATCTCAAACTCAGATGCCTATCAGGGGCCAAGCAAATAACAAGACTGAGTGAAATGCTGCAGGTGTAAACAATAGGGCATGGTGGGACTGTGGTACGCTCAGGTCCCACCAGAAGGGTAACCTCTTGTGAGCTCTGACCAATTAGTGCCACTCCTAAGGAGTGGACCCAGCATCTGATTTTTAAAACAAACAGAAAAATTCAGATTTTATGTGAAATTTCTAGGTTTGGGGTTTGTGGGGTTTTTTTTTCCAATTGTGGTCAGTTTTTTAAACATCGGTAACTAATTCAAAAATTTTAAAATACTTTTCAAGCCAAAGTAACACATCTACAGGGCAGACATGGCCCCTGGGCTATTCAACCTCTGGGTGAACTGAACAGCGATGCTCAGGACTGGGGTTCTAAGCAAAGAAGTCTGAACACTGATGGACACAAAATATGTTATTTATTGTCAATTTCTGCAAAGACACATTTAAGCAACAAAATATACATTTGTCGACCTTTTAGAATTTGTTTTATACATTAACAAATACAATGTGCTACCATAGCAATAAATTAAATGTACACTATTTACATTACATAGGCAGTCAGGGTCTACGAATCACCTCCTCAAGAGGAGGAAAGAAAGAAAAGTCAATCATCATATGGATCATCATTTCCGAGCTCTACTTCTTAGGTTCTATCACATAGAGGAATCTCTTCACACTTAATGTCAGCGCTCCCTGGGCTGGAGTGTGGAAGGGTAACGCCCAGGACAGGGGGCAGTTGGCACACATGCTAACAAGCGGGAAGGGGGAATTAACCCTTCCAAGCAGAAATGTCACAAAATCAAAGACGATGGCATTTAAATTCCAGTCTCCAGCCACACACCCTGTCCCCAGGGCTGGTAAGGCACAGGACAGAGCCAGGGCCCGAACAGCCTCTCACCAGGCAGGGCTTCACTGTCCTTGGCCCTAGCAGGGGTTGTCTCCTTCCTTCCAAAGGGGCACATGGCCCAGCTGAAAGGAGGGAGACGTGGGGTTAGGGTGGAGAAGGGGCTGGTGGTAAAACAGGAATCAGAGCTTGTGGAAGAATGCTCCACCCGGCCCCCAGAGGCTGCAAGGGCAGCCTTGGCAAACTCCACTGACCCACCCTCGCCTTTGAGTTGAGGGGGCTAGAGGGTGGAGGAGGAGCCCGGGGTGTGAGCATAAATGACCGGCCAGGTCCCTGCCAACTACCTGTCGCCTTGAGATCTGGAACCCCGCCCATTCCCCCACAACAGACCTGTCTCGCCTGACTCAGAACTGAATGAAGAAGGTAGTGTTCACACTGGCACCTTAAACAGTCAGGGTAAGAAAGTGAAACAGGCTCTCGTCCCACCTCGTCACTTGAGCCTATATTTTTATTAACCACCTTTGCTCAAGGATCAGGGAGAACGAGAGTTTTCTTTTACCACTTCTCTTCTTAACTTAAAAAGGGGAAACTGAGGGTTGGTTAACTGCATCTTTGCCCCGGCCTTCACCTCCATTACCGACTGGTTGAAAAGCCGATGTCACCAAGGAACAATCCATTGGAATCTCTTTCTCTCCTTGTTTTCTTTCCTTAAGCTGCATCCAAACCCCAGGGCCCTCACTGAAAACTCTGAGAGACTATCCCTCCTGATAACACGAACAGAGACTGAGGTCCCACAAGCACCTTTGTCTGCTGACACCTCCCTCCCAGCTAACTGGCTTCTCCAAAACTCAGGGCCGCAGGAAATGCAGCCACTTGTTCAACCAACCACATAGGTGGTGCCAAAGGAAGGGCCCTGGGTTGTGGGTTCTAATCCCAGCTTTGCCACTAGCTGGCTGTGTGACCTCAAGCAAGTTACTTCCCCTCACTGGGCTGAGGTTTCTCACCTGGATAATGACATGGTTGGAATAGATCCTAAAAGGGGCCCAGAAGGCTTGAACATCAAGATGATGCTGACCAAGCTGAGACAGAATATTTTTCAAGAAATGCCATTTTCTACTCATTAGCATAGACAGAAGCTCTAGTCAAGCTCTTTCTGCATCTGCTTTTAAGCATCGACTGAGCACAGGCATACGGCTGCCCTACAGAGCCTGACAAGTACAGTGTCTTCTGTGAGTTAGGCAGTTCCCAGAGACAGAGAAGTGTCCAGGAAACCCTTCTCCTGTATCTAGGAGATGGCAAGCAGAACGCCTCAAATACCAGCATGAGCACCATCAGGATGAGTCTAGTCACAAGGACTGATGAGGCTTGAGCAAATCTTTGAGCCCTAAGACTGGGTGAAGCAATAAAAGGAAAGACATTTTGGACCACAGCAGATGCAAGGAGAGTGTGAGAGAAGCTGCCTCCAGGAACCCGAGCCACCTGCCCCACGGTCCAGAGGGGTGAGAGGGGACAGTCCTTGTTCTCCTCCCCCTCAGCCCTGGGACCTCAGGGGGACTAGTCGTGTGCATTCTGGAAGCCATAGGATGGAGTTTCTAGAAATGGTGATGCAGGACCCAGGGACCTTTCAGATCCTGCCCAGAGCACCCCCATTAGCACCCAGAAGGTAGACAACACTTTTCAGGTCTGTGCTTCTTAAGGGGCATGCCTGCGCCTCTCAGTTTCTCTGGACACTGACTCTCCCCAGGCAGAGTCTCCTGGCCACTGGCTCAGAGGCAGGGGCAAAGCCCTCGCAGGAGGTGGGGGCTGCAGGGGGGAGCTGCCAGAGCAGCGGGGGAAGGTGGGTATGAGGTTCCCAAGTTGGACAGAGCAGGGACAACCTGAAAACCCCAGGGGACCCCCCGACCAAGACACAACACAGCACTACCACCCAGCAGCTGTAAATACCAGCTGCCCAGAGAAGCGAGCCAGAACCCAGGAAGAGTTTTCAAAGAAATGCAGTTTGACCTTTCAAGTTCCTTCAGAAACCCAGCCAGCAGAGCTGCCAGAATCCGCGGGCCTCATTCCAGCTGTGGGTGCCGCTACAGTGACTTTTAATAAAAGCTAAACAGACATTTTGGTGACCTTCTAACTAGAATAAATCTTACCGGACTAGTGCTTTAAGTAAATACATTTCTCAAATAGCGTGAGGGGAGATGTCTACCAGCCTGCAAAGGGGACCCCACCATGTCCATGCAAGTAGGGGTCAGAGGTTCATGGTTTTGCTCTAATGGCCAAAGCAATGGGGAAACTGTCACATCAGTCAAAAACAAGTGTCACATTTATAGGCCTGGACTTGGGAACAGGCCCAGATCCCAAGGCAAATAAAGCAGCTGGTTGGAAATCCTTGGCATCCACTTGTTAAAACAGGAGCCCCGCCAGCCAGCATCCCCCCAGCAGCCCCGTGTCACAGAGGCCCCACATGCACTTGAAGCTGCAGCACGGCCAAGGGTCTGCTCTTCAGTCTCTGTGTTTTACTTGGAGGATACCCCACCTTAAACCCCACCCAGGCCGGTCAGCAGCAATGACCACTCGCATTGCAGACTTGGATGGCTGAGAAGCGAGGGGGGCTGCTCCTCAGAGAGCGAGCCGGCTCACCCAGTGAAGGTGGCTCCAGCTGAGGGTGCAGGCAGTGTCTGAACTGCACCAGCCGAGGCCCAGGTTGCAGGAATCCCACAGATGTGACAACTGCCCACAGACTTGCTGTTGGAGGGGGGAAGAAGAAGATTGGGGGGATCAAACCCTGACACAGACAAAGGGCAAGTAAGCTGGAAAGCGTCCCTCAGGCAGCGCTAGGTCCCCCACAGAAGCCAGGAACATAAATTGCAGAAGGACACAGCTCTTAAGTCCTACTCACACACCAGCCTGACAAACCTGGTGTGTCATCCCCATCTCGCCTCCCCACCCTCCCCTAAGTGGTGGGTTGAAGTAACTCCTCCGTGAACCTCCACACCCAGTGGAAACCTGATCCCGGCCCAGCCCTCGGATCTGAGGTTTTCCTCGCCCAGAGTCTGGGCACTCGCTGACTCTCCTCCCTGAATTCCTTCTTACTCCTGGCTGTCCATCCTTCATGGGAAAAACATCTGCTCAAAGGGGAGGGACTGACCCAGGGCTTCTCCCACAGCAACCACAATGAGGAGCCTGCGTGAAATCAGGCCGGACAAAAGTTCCAGCTGCCGGCAAGCAACAGTCAGCGCCCGCTCCCCACACACGCCCGGCTGCGTCCCAGCTTCACGCGGATGCTCAAGATGCAGGGAGCAGGGATGGAGGCAGCTCTGGGCCTGATGTCAGCAGTGGGTAAGAAGTTTTTAGCACAGAAGCAAACAGATCTGAGGGAGCTCCAGAGATGTGAGAGCAATAGAGCTGATTTCTATTAGGACATCTTCAAAGACAGCTACGAATTTTGCTCCTGGAAAAGTGCTCCCTCCACCACCACTAAATGCCTTTGCTATGCCTGCCACGTCCAGGACACAGTGCTGCCCCTCCCTGGGCGCAGTCCTGCTGTCGGCCTCTGCTCCCCACCTCACCACTCTCTCCACCTCTCTGGTCTCTAACTGAGTCCCTGGTACCCAGATGCCCCCTTGCCCAGCTCTTGCCTCTGCAAACAAAACAAGATGACAAATGACCCAGACACACATCACATCAGGTGGTCAGGAGTAGGGGGAGCCTGGAGGACTGAGGCCTAGTCCAGAGATGGGAAGGTGCTTTCAAGAAACAGGGTATCTTGGCAAAGGGGTGGGCAGGGCTGTGGCCGGGTCAGGACATTGGGACAGACAGCCGGTCTGCTGGGCAGGTGGCCGGTGGGGCAGCAGGCCTGTGACGGTCAGAGTAGTGGATGGCACCCCCAAACTGCTGAAATAGGAGTCTTCTCCGGGATAGAATTGGGTCTTCCCTGGAAGAGACAAGGAGAAGGGAGATGATGACCAAACGTTGGATAGAGGAAAGGAGGGCGAACACAGGCGCCCATGGCTACAGTCCACTGTATGTGCTCAGGACAGGAAGGGGCCAGACTTCACCCAGCCCCAGAAGCTGGTGAACAGTGGCATCGAAGTACGCGATGGGAATTGGAGGTGAGTGTCAGCATTCTCATTTCACAGATCAGGTTTACTTAAAGTGGACTCAGCTGTCCCCCTCCTCTTAGTTCCAACTGTGACTCATACGGCTGGGAGCCCCACTGCAGGGCTGGGAATTCAGACGGGTCTCTAGTAACTTCTCTAGCAGGGGTTCAGGCCTTGGCAGCGAGCTGGACCCATGCCCTGCTCTTCTGAGAACCACACACTCTCTCGGCTGAGGCTGGAAGCAAAGGTCCTTCCTGGGGTCATCCTGCACAATGTTTAGAGGGCCTCTCTGGACATGCAGGAGGACACACTTCAGCCCAGAGCCCTGGCCAAAGACACAGGAGGGAAAGGCTGCCAAGAGCAGGGAGTCCAGGGGGCAAACTGAGGCATTCCCCCTCCAAGGAGGCAGGTGGGCTCTGAGCTCCTGCCCCTCTGCCTACAGGAACCAGGCTTCTCTGCAGGAGGGAAACCAACTCAGTGAGTTTGGCCCAATCCTACTGGGCAACCCTTCCCATCCACACCCAAGGCAATCTGCCCTCTTCCTCATCCAGACTGAACCCCATCATAGAGGCTTCGGCAGGAGGCCACCGACCCTCCCCAGCTGTCAAGATCTCTCTGGCCATTCTCAGGTTATCAGGCCACCAGTACCCTGATCTTAAAAGGTCACACCTTCCCTCGTGGCCACAGCAGAACAAACCCTTGACCCACCTTTGACAGGCGAAGGACTCCTCTTTCACGTTAGTGACCCTGTTTCAACAAAAATCCATACAAGAGTTTTAAATAACCAGACAACATAATCCCCACTGACTGCAGCTTCTGTGCACTCAGCTCTCAACCCTCCAGTGAGCTCAGGAAGGGGCAGGAGGCCCCAGAAGCCAACAGATCACAGCTCCTACCGGGTGTGGCTCTAACACCGCGCATGTGGCAGAGGGGGCTGATAACCCCCAGGCTGATGCCTACACCACATGGAAACCAACAGCATCACCCAGAGATGTGACCAGAGCTCTCCTTCCCCAGATGTGATGTGCCCCCAGGAAGGAAGGCTGGCTTGTGGAGGACGTTGGAACGTGGGAGGCTCCCCTGCCACCGCCACCCCTCCAGATCCTTACCGCACTGGAGCCAGCATGGCTGAGCTTATCGAAGCGGAATTTCAGGTTTGACCTCGGGGAGTTTCTGCTTTTGACATCTAGGAAAAAAAAGAATGCCCATGAAAAGAGGATGGGACTGTAGCGGTCACTGGGGCTGAGGGCGGGGAGGGGGCACTGGATAGGGAGGCCAGGAGAAGGGGGCCTCCTCCTCTCCACTAGAAACCCTAGCTGACTTGCACCCACTACGACAGCCAACTCTTAAATTTTTAGAAAAGTTGTGAGCTGGCTGTTAAACCCAGTCGTTTAAAAAAAATTAAATTATATTAGCTTACAATTGAATTATATTCATCAAAAGTAATAAATACTCAAAAGTCAGCCTTTCCTAGTTATTTCACTACATTTGACTATTATCTATTCTCTTAAGGTTATTTCCGTCTGTTGTATCTGTCTGGTGGCTCTTCCCAACTCCAGGTCCCATTGGTGGCTTAAGGTCAGCCATGGCAGGAGGGTTTACACCACAGAAACCAGCAAACACCACAAATCAGAGCTTGATTTATGGTTTTGTTGTCCAGACTCAAGAAACCAATGGAGAAAATGTTAATATAAATTAAACCTGAAAATGTGTTGTGTCTATAGCCATTGCATTGAGAATGGCACAAGAATTCACAGTGAGTGAGTGAATCCTCTCCCAGTGTTTGAAAACTGCTCTCTCCTTCAGCAAAGTTGCTCGTGTCACTGACAAAATAACAGCAATGCCCATTCATGTCAGGACTACACTTGTGCATCATTTGGGATCTTACGTTCTCCATGGATACAAAGGTTAGGCAAATATCAATCAAAGTATTTTGTGATAATCGATTGACTATATGAAATTTGCAGTAAAGAATACTGGACATTCTATCTTTTATAAATTGTATGCTTCAGATTCTTTATAGCACTAGAATTTACAGTAAACATAAAGGTGGGGTGGGGGTGTGTGTGTGTGTGTGTGTGTGTGTGTGTGGTAGGAGAGCCAGTTGTTAAACATTTACCAGCACACCACTGGCGGGGGGCCACTTGGCTTTCTGGTTTTCCTCTGGCTGAGAGAACCAACAGCTCGGTACACTCCACCTGGAGGCTGCTGACTTACTCCTGGTGCTTCCAATCACGGGTTCCACTCAGTGCTACGAGTACCTCTCGATGTAACCCGCCAATCCCCTCTCAGGGCCGCAGGGGCCCCAGGTGTGAAATGACCAATGGTCAGGGCATCCGAGATTATGGAAGACCGGATGGCAGGCCCTCCCAGGCCACCTCCCTCCGCTCAGCCCTGTCTCTCCCCAGGTGCAGCTGAACAGTCTAAAACAGGTTTCCAGATCTCCACAAGCCCACCCTGTGGGTACCCGGCACAACTTCTGTGGGGTTGGGGATGAGGGGTGGCCCCTCAGGGTTAAATACTACAGGGCAGTGGGAGACAATAAGCACCGGGCAGGAGTTACCAGGCCCGTTCCTGGTCCACTTCTGCCACGGGTGACCTTCAGCAAGTCACAGGCACTCTCTAAACCTCCTTTACTCAAAACCTTATTTATTTTGATATTTATTTAACACCAAGTAGGAGCCAAGAGTGCTTACAGATTCTTCCATTCATCCCTTCAATATTTAATTAAGCCCTATTTTTTAAAAAATCAGGGAATTTGTATTACTACTCCACTTTATAGATGAGGAAACGGGCTCAGAGAGCGGACCTGTCAATGCCACGGCCAGAACAAGAACCCAGCTCCACAGCTGGCAGCCACAGCGGGCTGAGTGAGAGTGTGTTTCCATCACTTCAACTAGTTTCTCAACCTCAGCCTATTGACATTTTGGGCCAGATAATTTCTTGCTGCCCTGTACATTGTAGGCTGTTTCACAGCATCCCTGACCTCTGCCCGCTAGATGCCAGTAGCCTATCCCCTGACCCCCCATCATGAAAATCAAAAATGTCTCCAGACATTGCCAAATGTGCCCTGGGGAGCAAGATCATCCCCAGTTGAAAAGCACTGATTACACTATTGTTCTATTCCTGTTATTAAATAAACTCTTAAGTTAACCATTCTAAATCTCTTAGACCCATAAGCTCATTTAATCTTCACACAACCAACCATATGAGGTAGAAACCATTCCCCTCCCTCTATTTTTCATTTGCAGAAACTGAGGCACAGAAAGACTCAGTAACTTACCCAACATCACATCGTTAGTAAACGGAAGATCCAGGAATTGGACCCAGGCTCCAGAGTCCTGTCTCCACACTAGGCTGCCCTCCTCAAGGGCAGGACCAAGGCTCTGACTTCTGGGCACCCACAGCACCCAGCTGTGCCTACCACACACATCCAGATGGGGATGCCCCTCGGGCTCTGACCCTTCACCTTCTCCCCAGAGCTGGCTCCTCCTACTCTGCCCAATTGCAGGGATCACAGAACCCCAAAAGGCCCAGACTCCTTGCTCCCTCTGGACCCCGACGACTGAGTCCAGAAGATTTTACCTCCTTGACACCTCTTGAATCTGCATCCTTCTCCAATTTGCCCCAGACACTCCCAGATCCATGGCCCCATCACCCCTTACCGCCCACCGAGACCCCCCACTGATATCCCTCCCCCAGTCTGCTCCCCGCCAATCCTTCCTACTCAGCCAGCTGCAGCCTCCAAAATGATCTTTCTCTACTCCAGATGGCGCTTCTCCACTGAAGAACTTTCAAAGACTTCAGACCCTCCAATGGCCTCCACTGCTGGCAGGATAACACCAAAATCCTCACCAGGGTCCCCGTGGAGGGCCCAGCCTGTCGCTCTAACCGCTGTCTCCTCTCTCATCCATGCCCTCTGTGAACTCCAACCACACTGAACCACGTGCGGTTCCAGAACAGTCTCTCAATTCCCTCCAGGCCTTTCCACGTGCAGCTCCCTCCACCTGCAACACTCTGCCACCTCCTATTCTTGCATTATCAGGACCATTGCTGTGACAGAGGGGCCTTAGGTCGATGACGAGGTCGGGCGAGAGGTCAAGGAAAGAGACTCAGCTTTACAATCCCAACTCCTCCAGCAAATCAACGAACTCTCTGAGCCTCAGTTTCCCCACGAGTAAGGAGAAGATAAGAACACAGGCCTCTTAAGGTTGATGAACAGATGCAGTGAGCTAGCAGAGCTGAAGGGCCTGACACTTTGGGGTAGGAATGGAAACTGGTCAGTTCAGGGTGCCTGGGGCATGCACCCTGCGAAGAGAGGTCAGGGTACAGCCCCCGCCCCCAGCCACATTGTACACACCACCAGATGCTACTGACCTGTAGGACTCCGGCTCATGATGATGGGGGTGGCGGCTGCCCCCAGGCTGGGGCTCTCGCTGCTCGGGGACTGGCTGTAGACAAACACCTCCTGCTTGAAGGGCGAGGTTGTGGACGGCTGGCTGCTCTGGGGAGAGAGGCCGGGTGAGCGAGGGCAGCCCCACAGGGTGGTCCATGCCGTGGCAGGCCTGAGACATGCCCCCCCGCCAGCACAGGGCAGCCACTGGCCCCCACTCCTCACTTGGACCCGCTCTTTCCTTGGGCTGCCTCCAACCCTGGCTCCAACCTCCCCCAAGCCCAGCCCCCAGGAAGTGCCATTGACCCTCTCCTCTCAAGCCAGGAACACCACTCAGTCTGGCCTCTGACCCTCTGCTGCTGCTCCTACGTCACTCTGAAGGAGACCTCCCTGAACCACTGCTCCCAGAGGGTGGAGATGGCTGACTGGTCCACCTCTTGTTTCCATACTTCCCCCTTTATCCACAGAGCCTAGAGTGGGGCTCAGCCCGCAGTACCTATTTTAATGCAGAGAACAGGTGTCTGGCTGGGCCCCAGGGTGCCCTTCCCTGCTCCCCAAGGCTGGACAGGGCCACACCTACCCCGCTGTCACACTCCTCCATGGCCTCCCCCTCCCCTGCCGTGCTGCTGAAGCTGCTGGTGCTGGAGGAGGAGCGGGAGATGTTGGCTCGGCCATTCTCCTTCAACTTAATGAAGGGCCTGCAGGGAACAGGAAGCAAGGCAGGCCCTAGTCACACACAGAGGCCCCCTGGGCCCTCCCTGGGGATGAGGGCAGGCTTAGCAGAGACCTGAGCTTGCCCACCGGCAGCTCCTCATGACTGTTGGCTTCTGTGTTCCAGAGAGTTCTCAAAGCAAGAGATGCTGACTCTCAGCTTGCCTGGAGCAGAGAGCAGCTTCCAGGGCTCCAAGCGGCTGCAGTCAGCCTTTCCCCACCCTCACTCTCTTACTTCTCCTTGTTGGGGCAGATTTCCGGAGAGCTGGGATTGGAGGAGGTCTCAGACTTTATCTCCTGAGAAGAGTGTCCGCCATCCGGGGTCTTGGGGTTGCTGGATGCACTGTCACTGAGGAAACGAGGATGAGGAGTGAGGCCAGGGAGGCTTCCCCCAACCCCTACCCCAGCCCCAGGCCTGAGACAGAGCCCGACCAGCTCTCAGCACCATGGGGGCCTATAGAGTCATAGCACCGCCTGCCAGAGCACAGCCACCAGGACCCCCATTCCCACCCGAGCTCCTCTCAGAGACTATGGCGGGCAGACAACAGAGATGTCTCCCTCCCCCTGGCCCCCGGCAACCACTAATCTACTTTCTGTCTCTGTGAATTTGCCTATTCTGGACATCTCATATAAATGGAGGCATACATGGTGGTCTTTTTGGGACTGGCTTCCTTCCCTTAGCATAAGGTTTTCAAAGCTCATCTACATTGTAGCGTGGATCAGTACCTTACTCCTTTTAATTGCTAAATATTCCATTTTATGGATTTACCACATTTTGTTTATCTATTCACTGAGTGATAGATATTTGGATTATTTCCACTTTGGGCTATTATGAATAATGTCGCTATGAACACCTGTTTGCTAGTTTTTATGTAGACCGTGTATATTTTCTCTTGCGTATATACCTGGGAGCTGCGTCATATGGTAACTCTACGCTTAACCCTCTGAGGGACTGCCAGACTGTTTTCCAAAGCAGTCGCACTAGTTTACATCCCCACCAGCAATGAATGAGGGTTCCAGTTTCTCCACATCCTTGCCAACACTTGTTATTATTTGTCTTTGTGTGTGTGAGGAAGATTGGCCCTGAGCTAACATCTGTGCCCATCTCCCTCCACTTTGTATGTGGGACACTGCCAGAGCATGGCTTGATGAGCAGCATGTAGGTCCACGCCCAGGATCTGAACCCACGAACCCTGGGCTGCCAAAGCAGAGTGTGCAAACTTAACCACTATGCCGCCAGGCTATTATTTGTCTTTTTGATTATAGCTATCCTAGAGGCATGAAGTGTCTCAATGAAGGTTTTTTTGGGGTTTTTTTGGTGAGGAAGATTAGCCCTGAGCTAACATCTATGCCAATCTTCCTCCATTTTGTATGTGGGTCATCACCACAGCATGGCTGACGAGTGGCGTAGGCCCACGCCCAGGATCCGAACATGGGCCACCAAAGCAGAGCACAAACTTAACCACTACACCACCGGGCCAGCCCCTCAATGCACTTTCAATGAGGTCACTAACGACCTCCTAACTGTCAGTCCAAGCAAGAGTTTGGATCATTGTGCTGGACTTCTCCACAAGTCTGACACTGCTGACCCTCCCTTGTGGAATTTCTCCTCTCCCGGCTTCTGAGCTCCCTGCCTCTGTGGATCAATGGATACAACCACCTTGTTGGGGGGGGGGGGTCAGAGTGTGTAGAATGCCTTGGGAACGCCAGCATTTAAGGGCAGGTGGAGAAAGGAGAGCCAGTGAAGAAGACTGGGAAGGAAGGGTGAGAGAGGAGGAGGATCAGAAAGACAGTTGGCAAGAACAGGTTAAGTATAATACAACGTGAGAGTTACTTAAAAAAAAAAAAAGAAGAAGAATAGAACCTTCTAGAAGCCCAAAGGAAGGTTCAAATAACTCTGCCTGGCAGAATCAGGGAAGGTGTCCATAAGAGAGGACCTCTGAGTGAGCATTGAAAAAGGAGGCAGAGAAAGAAAAGAATGCAAGCAACGTTTCTAGTTTAGGTCAAAATTTAACAAGAATGACTTTGGAAAGTTCTGTGCAGAGACTGGCCAAATCTGCCTTGGTGGATAAAGAGCTGTGTGAGTGACAGGGCATGTGCAGGGGCCTGAAGTGGGGACCACGCTTAGACAAAAGCCATCTCCCGAAGCTGCACAAAGCCCTCCCCAGGGTTAGGCATCTGATGACTGTGGCGGTGAAGAGCTGACAAACCCCAGAGTCGGGCTGGAGTCGGGGCCCCTGACAGTTACCTTCGTGTCCGGCTGTCCCCTTGGCCCTCAGAGCCTGTGTGCAGGCGAGGGAAGAGCCCCGACCGCCGCTTGATGGGGCTACGTGACTGGTTCTTCGCCGTTGCCACTGCCACCGGAGGCTGTCAATGAAACCGCCAAAATACGTGCTCATACCCCAAGCCCAGATCTCCTTCTCCGCATCCCCTCTTCTGGTCTACAAACAGCTCCTGCAACCCCCTACCTAGTTTGGAGGAGATTCCAGAAAATAGTAAGACAGCTAGGAAGGTTGGGATCTATGTTACAGCAGCTGAGACCCCGAGGCTCCAGACACTTGCAGCCTGTTTTCCTGTGTTAGTAAGCCCAGGCAACAATTCACCAAAGACCAGAATTCTTGGAGGAACACGGGGTCAGGGCCACCTTAAGGAGAGCCTCGCCTATTGAGAAGGACAGGATGACTCAGGCAATCACAGACTGAGAACCACAAAGTCTGGGGTTACCCCCAACAGCCTCAGTTGCTCTGGTCACCTGGCCCAAGCCTGGGTGAATGCACTCCTCCTTCCCAGGCCTGGAGGACCCTCCACGGGCCCCCGCTGGCCTGTGGCACTCACAGAGAAGGTAGTCTTGGTAACCTCCACGCTGTTGTGGGAGATGCCCCCGCTGAGGCTGCCGGGAATGCCCCCACTGTGCTGCTTCTTCTGGCTGCTCACCATGGTCTCCATGGAGTGGCTGCGCACACGGATGGCCCGCTGTGGGGAGAGAAGGTGACAGGACCTGAGAGGTGGAGCCTGGCTGCCACCAGAAGACCCTGCCCTCTTGATGGGGTCTGCAGACCCTGCCCTCAGCATGTGCACACTTGTGCACACACACTTGCATGCTCACTCTCTCAGTAGCTCATGCTACAGTCACTATGGTTCGCAGAGAATTTTCACATGTTCAGTCCCATGCTCTGGGCGTGGGTGACTCCTAGAAAGCAGAGGCGAGGGAAGGCAACAGCCAGGGAGAGTCCGAGGGGTCAGGGCCTCAGCTCCCCAGCAAGGTGGACAAAAGCTGTTATCCCCATCTTACAGTTAAGGAAAGTGAGGCTTCGACAGCTCACCAAACCCGTGTGACCCTGGTCTGTCTGGTTAGCAACCTCTCTAGGCTACAGCTTCTTTATCTGTAAACTGGGAATGATACGTTCCATGCAGGCTCGTGGTGGGAACTCAACAGTCATGTGCCTGAGCCCAATCTGACTCTTTTTCCCAGAGAACTAAGCATCCTTATATTTAAACACTAGATATCCCTTCTGCTGTCATCCCAATGTGGGCTTTGTGCAATTTGCAATACATTCGCCCCTGGTGAACCATGTAGGAGCGCTTACAAATCAGTGCATGGAGCCAACACTCACTTGCAGGGGCTTAAGACACTGTCAGTACAAGCCCGCAGCCTGACACAGCTGCTGAAAGAGAAGATGCATGCTCAGAGTGGGCGAGGTGGGAGGCCTTGGGGGGCACAGAGCTGCTCAGCCCACAAAGAGCCCTGTGCCCACTTAGGGCCACCAAAGAGCAAAGGGCATTTCAGCAAACAGTGAGGTGTCCAGGAGGGGACAACCAGGGTGGTCAGGGGCTTGTCACAGTGCACGCATGGATAAGAACAGCTAAAACCAAGATTGCCGAGCCCACGACAGGGATGGACCTGGGAGGTGAAGACCACTCCTTCAGACGGCTCTGCAGGCCTCTGTTGCTCTGGAACCAGACCCAAGGGGAGTGGTTATAGAGAGGCCGATCTCAGCTCAACCCAGGGAGGATGCCCTGACAAGGGAAGTCCAAGAGGATTCTGGCTACCACATGAAGGATGCTCTCTGGTTCTGGAGGCCTTCAAAGATGACATGAGCATTCTAGGAAGGGAAGTTTCTCTCCAGTAAACCCCAAACCCTCGCATCACTCCCCTCTGATCATTTATTCGGTCACTCAATAATACAGCCAGGCAGCAATACAACTTAGTGGTCGAAAGCACGCAAGTGACAGGGTCCAACTACCAGGATTTATATCTGGGCTCCCTATTCCACCACCCATTAGCTGGATGCCCCTGGTCAGGTTGCTTACGTTCTCTGAGACTTACATGTGCAATGGAATGGAGGATATCTACTCCATGGGTTCTTGTGAGAATACATCCAAGGCTCTTAGCAGAGAGCCCGGCACACCATAAGTACCCAAGAAACGTGGCTACTCTAATTGTTAATATTAAGCATTTGTTGCATGCCTCTCATGTGCCTGGCGCTGTGCCAGGAACTGGGAGCATTGTAGGAGAGGAGTCAAAGAAGTGTGAGACCTGGCCCCTGCCTTCAAGGAGTGTACAAGTCAGCTGGGGAAACAAGGCGTTTTCCTAAAATTAGGGCACGCTGAGAGACCCAGGGCCCCTGGGTGCTCCCTCTGCGTTAATTAGCTGTCCAGGGCCCCAGGGCCTAAGAGCCACATGCAAAGACTCATGAATGGAGATATTATTAGTCATTCACGTAAAAGTGCCCTCCCCACCACATCCCTTGCTGGCAGAGCCACTGTCTGGTCCAATGTCCCCTCTTCCTCCATGGGATGAAGGAGTAAATCAAGTCCAATCTAAGGCGGTCACATAACCCATCCCCTTGCCAGTGGAACATAAGGGGACCTCTGCTGGGGGCTTCAGGGAAAGGCTTCCTCAATGATTCCCAAAAGAGATGTGACATGTCTGTACCTGAAACCACAGCAGCCAGCTTGGGGCCATGAGAGATCGAGCCTGCAGGATGAAGCTGACAAGCTGGAGATGGCAGAAGGGAAAGGGGAAAGAACCCGATGCCAATGACCATGCAGAGCCATGAGTTACCTTGGCCTTCTTATTAAGTGAGCTAATGGATTTTCCTTATTGTGTGAGCCGGATGGGGTTCTCAGAACCTCGGCTTCGGGAAACCGATGCAGAAGGACAAACGTGAACACTGCTCCCTTCCTCCCTGGGTTCATACCCACACACGTACAAACATGTCAGTTTATGCACCCCATGTGCCAAGCTACAGATGTTCTCATGTGGAAGAATGAACCCCCTTCCCTCTCTTGAAGCCTCAAGGGAAGAGCTTAGTCTACAGAAAGGTGGTCCCAAGAAATCAGCATGAATATTGCTCCTAGCGAAATAGCAGATCCCGCCGGACCCTCTCCCCAAGGTCAGGAAATCTCCAAGCTCGGAAGGTGAATGACCACCTTGCCTGCCTTTCTATCCTGACAAGGGAAGGTGATTCAGGAAGGAGGGCCATTTGTAAATATGACTGCCCTGGAGACAAGTTACTCTTGCGAATGAGGCACGGAGCCCAGCAGCCTCGTACCTGATGTCATCTAGCCTCTCCAAGATGGCCCTTGAGGGAGATCATCTCTCTCTCTCCCTTTCTAGACCACAGAATAGAGTCGCCTAGCAACAGTTTCCTGCACCATGGTTAAAACAGCCAGCACATACTATTCATTCCATCACTTAAAGATCATTAAGTCACACACCCCTTGGAAAACTGAGGGCAGGAAAGGTGTGGCACCACACTGAGGTGTCCCTCCATAAACAGTGAGGTTCCCTAAGTGAGCTAAGTGCCTCATAAATCTCAGCATCATTACATTCTGTTGGTGCCCTGTGTGTGCTGCCACCACCACTATTGTCATCAACAGTGAGATGTCACTTAATCGTCTATGTTCTGATGTAGTCCTCACTGTCTCTTTTCAAAAGGGGTTTGATGTGGGTAATAAGCCCTGCGTAATGGCATCTGGTCTGCTGAGCTTCACACGCATGGTCTTATTGGATCCCCACAACTCTGAGAGGTACAGAGGACAGGCATTTGATAGAAAAGGTCCCGAAAGGTAAATGATTGCCTGAGGTCACGGTGTAGATAAGACATTGCCATGACCCATACCCAGGACCCTGGGCTCCAGATGAAAGGGTCCCAGGATCCCAAAAGGTGGTCCAGAATTGGATATATAATTCAACTGGTTGATGGACTAAGGATGATTAGAAACCAGGAGCTTTCAAAACAATCTCAAGGCTGATGTCAGAGAAGGCATCTTCTCCTCAAATGCCCTTGGTGCTGCTGTCTGAGTCATCGAGCTAAGTTTGCAGAGACAATGGGCTCACGAGGAATTCCAGGAATTTGCAGGGGGACCGTCTGCTGTCAAAGCAAACAGGGAGGGTTTGAATCCTGGCTCTTCCCAGCACAATGTATGAACCTCTCTGAGTCAGCCTCCTTGTCTGTACAACTTGGTGATGGTCCCTGAATGAGGATGATATGAGACAGCGTGTGCCAAACACCTGGTGTGATATTTACTCAGGATCAGCTCTCCTCCCTACTCTTAGGGATAGAAGCAGACAGACAATAGCTACCTCAAAACCTTAAAGTTATGTTCAGATGAAATCACCCAGGGACATAGTCTGAAGTATTTCATGTTTCAATCTGACGTAGAGATGGAAGCACTAGCCTTCTCAAGCTGGGCAGAAGAGTCAGGTGAAAGGTGAATAAGAGAAAGGAGGACAGTGATGTGGAGAGAGGAAGGCAGGAGAGAAAAGGACAGGCACATGAAGGCTTTGTGTCAGCATTAGGAGGTCTCCAGGGACCATCTGGACCCTCTCCCACTCAGCCCCTTGTTCATCTGGGCCACAGTTCATCTCTTGTCTGCTTGTTTCTTCCCAGGGATGGGCTGCTCACTGCTTTCAAGGCTGCCTGTTCCAGTGGTGGACAACCTGACCTTTGGAAAGGTCCTCTGTGCACCAAGCTGAAATCTTACCATTTCTAGACCTTGGGGTCTCAGACCAGTTTATCCCATATTTCACACAACTGTCCCTAGCTGTCCTCAGAGTCTGCTTTCCTCCAAGCTAATCATCTCTGGTTCCATCACCCACCCTCAGTCACCAAGGTTTTCCAGCCCTCAGCACACTTCATGGCTTACCTTTGAACAAGTTCTCCTTTGGGCGAGTGAGAAAAAAGAAAGGGTGTCACTTTCTCGTTATATGCTTACGTCACTTCATTTCAGGTAGGGGTTTGAACACCAACTAGCATCATGGAAGGAGCCATGTCTTTTCCAGGCCAACCACAAACCTCGATTCCTCACAAATTGGTGTTGTGAGTTGCTTCAACTTAACAAACTCAACTTAAGGGACACAATGCACAGGGATGACCACTAACGGGGACATGCCTATCTGTACCAGGCAAGCAACAGAGGCAGGGGCCCTTGGAAAGAAAGATGCTAACTGCTTGTCTGCTGAGATGGCTCCTAATCAAGAAATACTCTGAGGTCCAGATTAGGGTCTTCTGTCCCCCTAGCAGCACAAATAAACGACAGAGGCTGACGGAAGAAGGAGCTATCCCTCCACATCTCCACTCCAGCAGACCAGAGCTCTCATCCATGAGCTGCCCCAGCCTGCAGGTACCTTGCTGGGGTTATCTGAGGCCTGGTGCTCCTCTCCGGCCACTAGGGGTCACATCAGACCAGTGCATTAACTATCACAGTCCCTCAAAGGCTGGGCGAATTCACCTGACAACTCCCTGCTTGCTGTGGTCGCAGTCCTGCTGAGGCTCGGGAGCCTTCTCCTCCCTGGTCCTCCACTCCCTTCTGCATGACGAGGTCAATGGAGGGCTGGGCAGGGTCATTGTTTCTCAAAATGTGGCTCACACGTGCTTTAGGTACATAGCATGTAGACACATCCAGTATTGTCACTTTTTCTTTCCATTTCATTACGGACCAACAAAAACTTCATCAACAGCTGGCAGTGGCTGAGAACAGCATTTAAGACCAATAGTCTAGAAATCAATATTTTTCAAAGGTGAGTATGTACAGCTCCTTTATAAAGAAAAATATTCTTGCAAAACTCCAAGTGTATGTCCACAGACCCACCGCAACACCAGGGTTCCCACGGACTGCATTTGCAATATACCTACTTACTCCACAGAAATGTCTTTTAACGGTGAGATTCACTGCAAAAGTTTAGTCTCTATAATTGGAAATATATTTCTTTGATGTTATCAGCTTTGATGTTATCAGAGAAAATACAAAATTTAAGTGTTTGTAGCACTGGCAGATTCCTGAGAATATCTCCAAGCCCCTCAGCTTGAGAAGCAGATCTAGACGTCCATAAACCAATTGCTCTGTGTCTCGAGGAAGAAAAGCTTAAAATACAGCCAGTGGAACTGAAGCAAGATGTGAAGAAGAGCTATTCTAAGTGGTGGGAGGAGCAAGCAGCCCAGCCTGGGGCAGTGGTGGGTCTGCTTCCTAGGAAAGGAACAAAGGGTCCCTTTGGGGGGAAGGGACAGTCACAAGAGGCAGGGGTGGATGGCCGAGATGGCTTTTAGTCCTGGGAATTCTCAATTATGCTTCCACGCACCTGTGAGATGAGAACTTTGACAGGAAGGAGATAAAGCAAATTTTTGTCCTGGCATCATTTCATGCACCACTTCTTTCAAGAGGAATTCCATGAAGGTCCGGGTAAGGGACCGCATGAGGAATCCCAATAATTCTGACACCACGGCACCACCCAAGGGGCCCACGAAGACATACCAAAACTAGAGACTGTTTCCCAAGCTGGGTCAGACCACAGGCACGGCCCAAACATCAGAATCCCCCAGCACTGGGCTCCATGCTGCTGAGCCTGGCCCACTCTCAGCTCTGGCCTCCACAGCTCAGAGACATGAGAGCAATGAAGGAAGGCGTGGGGCAAAAGGGTTCTTGTCCCCCAGCTGAGAGGAGGAAAACACGCTCTGAAGGCTTACAGGCCATGACAGTCCCCTCCCTCACCCCCAAGTGCTACCCCGGAGACAGGCATGGAAGCAGAATGCAGAAGTGGGCCTGTTTTCAGCCTTTCAGTTGGAAGGACTTAGGGTTGAAAAGAAGAATTCCCTGGATTATTAGATCAAATACAAGTAATGATAAAGTCTTGAAGCATCTTCTCTCTTGGAAACCCCTTTAGACAGACCCACTGGAGTCAAAGACAGATGAGCTGCTCCTCCTGCCAGAGGCAGGGGACTGGACCAGTGGCCTCAGGCCACCCTCCATTAGACCCGCAACCTGCCTGTAGCTGCTGGGCCATTTTACCCATTGGGCACCATGGCAGAGTGTCCACAGCCTACAAGCATTTCCAGGTGAATAAAGTATTTGAAACCTGAGAAAACAATAACTCCAAACCACAGAAGGAAACTTGCAAAACTGAAAGCAACAAATACTGCATTAAATGTCTGCAAAATATAACACCATGTCAACTAGGCAACCGCAGCTCAAGTCATATATAAACTACATTTACTGTGGGGCATGGGAGCAGTTTGATATGCTTGATACAATGTGGGGCAGAGGCTACAAAGTCCCTGTTCATAGGGTCTCACCTTCACTCCTGTCTCGGCCAGGTTGGCCGACCTGGCTCCCCTGTTCTTCCCCGTTCCTCTTCTCCCTTGCCCCGCTTTCCTCGTAATCTCCCAGCTTCTGCTAGTTCACCCTGGCTGCCACTGTCCATCAGGACTGAGCCAGATGCCCCAAGAATCTCTCACCAGCCTGGAAGAATGGCTGGGCTCCGACCCCCACCCTCGTGAGGAATCTGGGCAGCTGGCCCCGACTAGGGCCAGCAAAGCCCTGCCCTGCTGTCTGCGGTCCAGCCAGGCAGCGAGATATAGAACCCAGGCTTGCCCAGGCCAGGCTAGTGTGGGTGGAACCTGAACCGAGTCAGGAACCAGGAGGCAGTGTCACACAGCTGTTAAGAACACAGGCTTCAGAATCCAGCAGACCTGGATCCAGCTCCCGCGTCTGCTGGGTGACTTGGGATAAATTACTGTGTCCCTTTGAGTCTTGGTTTCCTCACACGTAAAATTATACCCATAATTATTAAAATTGGGTATGAATTATTATACTCATAATAAGAGCCTTCTTCTCAGGGCAGAGAGGGCAGCTGTGAGGTTCCAGACAGGATCACGCGGGTTAAGCTTTCACTTTACACAACAATAACAGCTAACACTTTCACTGAGCATTTACTGCATTCCAGGCCATGCAAATTGTTCCAGACACTATTTCAACTAATTGTCACAACAACTGCATGACAGAGGTCCTATGTATCATCCCTGTGTTGTTGATGAGAAAAGAGTAGCTCAGAGACTGTGAAGACTGCCCATGATGACCCAGAGCTGGGATGCTAACACAGGCAGATCCAACCCTAACCCCACACACGCTGCCCTCAAAACGGTAGCTTTACAAATCATTCTGCAATGGGCAATCCAGTAGAACATTGACTTAAGGACCAGAAAACCTGGGGGTGAAACAAGGCTCTACCTGTACTCAGGTGTGAGGTTTGGAGCAGTCCTGCGGCCTCTCTCAGCCTGTCCCCTCACTTGTGGGTGGAAATAACAAGACTCCTTCTGCCAACCACACAGGATTGAAGCCAGACTCAAATCAGACCCTGGATGGAAGTGCTGGGTAGACCAACAAGCACTCGGCAAGCACATGACGATGAACTTCTTCACCCCACATCAGCTAAGTGGCCGTCCAAGCTCCACCTGAATACTTCCAGGGACTTCTTTTAGCAGCTTGTTCTCGTTAGAAAGTTCTTCCCTTTGCAAAGTCCACTGGGACTTGCCTGTAACTCCATCCCACCAGCCCTGGCCAGGTCCTCCAATGCTCTGCCAGCTGGGAAGAATCCTTGCAGTACCCCACACTGGCTGCTGAAGACCCCAAAGGCTTGTGTCCTTGCTCCTGCCGTCCTGCCCTGGACTCCCCGACCACAGAAGGAGGCAGATGGAAGCAGTCATGTTCTTGGTTTGTACCGGCTCCTCTCCTGCTGCTAACTCCTTCTCTGCCCCTGCATATCAGACTCCCAGTTCAGGAGGAGATGACCCAGATCAAGGAAGGACATGGCGGACGCTGCAGACACCGTTGGCTGCTCCGACCACTCACACTGCCTGATGCCTCTTCCCTCTGCAAACACTGCGATGCCCCTGCTGGTCCTGCCACCTCTGGCTGGCATTTGGGCTCTGGGGTCAGGAGCATGCAGACCTTGCACCTCGTCCCGTTTGTCCCACCCGCTCCCTGCCACAGCAATCCCCAGCCACTCTTGTGCCTGTACCTTAAAAGATTCCAGGAATCCCCCATGGCCCCCATTCTCAAACTTGTCCTCTTCTGGGCCCAGTCCCAGCATGGCCTGTGTGTGGGCATGGAGCTCATCGTGAAGGTTGTCCAGGAGGGCAGCCCTCGTCCGGTCCTGGAAGGGAGAGGGTGAGGGTTGTGGAGCTAGCACTGAGGGCAGAGGCGTGCCCTCTCCCTGGGGGCTCCAGACACCTGGCCTGAGGGCTGCTATTCTGGCCAGCTGTATCTCGGCGACAGTGTAGACCTAAGGACAGGCTAGGCTCCAGGCTCACAAAGGCTGCAGTCAACACTACAGCCCCATTCCCGGCCCTCTGCTCTCTCCCCTCTGCCCCTTCTCCATGGGCTATCCCACAGCTCTACTGTGCAGACTCCCAGCCCAGATCTCCGCCCCAAGCTCTACATCCATGTACCCAACTGCCCACTGCTCCTCTCCATCCAGATGCTCATCCAGGGCCGTTCATACCGCCTCCAGGTGGCGCCATTCACACAGACCAGGACTAGATCTGTCAGCAACACAGCCTTTGCAGGCACCTCCAGAGCAGCAGGTCTCAACAGAACTCATCTCCCAGGGGTCCCCAGGTCAGCAAAGAACCCAAGCCAAAGGCCCAAGAGCCACCCTACAATTCCACGTCCCTCTACCCTTATATACAGGAGTATAGACCCCCCCCCCCCCCCCCCCCCCCACTAAGAGAGGCAGGAGGAAGACCTTCGGAAACCACGCTCTCACCTCCAGCTTCGCGAACTTGTCAGACTTGCAGCAAGCGTTCTCTGCATTGGTGAGCTTGGTGAGCAGGAACTCCCTGAACTCTGGGCCCTGGAACAGACAAGATGCCCCGGGCCTCTCTCAGTCTCAGCTGTTGCCAAAAGGGCTTCAGCCACAGTAATGGGTAGGCAGAGCAGGGGTCTGGAGAGGGCCTCTGAAAGGTCCCCTGACGTGATCATTTCTAGCCCAGAGCAAGCCCACCTGCTAAGATGCCAATGTGGAAACCAGCTTCCCTGTCCTGGGAAATGCACCCTCCACACCCACAGTGGCATTTCCAGGACTGGGCGCCATTTTTGGCCAAGGGTCCTGGGACTGGAACATGGTATAAAACCCTTCCTTTAGCAGAAAGGCAACCCCAGTGTCAAACACCCTGACAAGAAGCCCTATGCTAGGCCAGGCAGGTAGCAGGATGGAGAGGTGGAGACCCTCAAACCCTGCAAAAGGTCTTCCTAATGCTCCCAGCCCAATTCAGCCCCACTCCAACCGCGGCCACTCAGGTATGGGCACCTGAAGCCTTAGGCATGAGAGGAGCAGAAAGGAGAGTTTCTTACCTTCTGGAAAACAGGAGGGCTGGGCAGAGGTGGCCCGAAGGCAGGCACGTCTTCCCGGGCAGTGACCGAGACCTGAAACACAGCATCTCGGTGTGGGCCAGGAGCTTGGAAGAGACCCAAGCAGAGGATGACAGCATGCCACATTCTGTGCCCTGGTGCTGGGGCAGCCCCATCCTACAGCAGATCTACCCGCCTCCTCCTCCATCCCCTTGCCAGAACACAAATGAAGTGCCCCCGTGAGCCACCGCCAGCACCGCCCGAGTCACTGTTCCTAGAAGTGGGGCTGGACGGCGCAGAGCCATCTGCGTGCTCCCATCTGCATTCCTGGAGGCCAGAAGCGGGTTTGGCAAGAGGACTGGACAGGGCTGAGGAGCAGCCTGGGACCCTGATTCTAATGCAGTAAAAGTGTCCACGAGGCCTTATCTCATTACCTCACTTGACTGGGATCCTAATCCTCAGAGAAGGCACAGTGAGAATTACTAGCCCTGTTTCACTGATGAGGAAACAGATGCCCAGAGACATGGAGTGATCCCCCCAAAGGCACACCGGTGATCAGCCACAGAGAGGAACAGAGAATCCAGACCTCCCAGTCCTGCTCTGGAGTTATTTTCCCACAACACTGACTCCCACACCCAGCCATACAGCAGAATCACTTCAAGTGTTAATATCGATTGCATGGGCTCCACTGCAAACCTACTGAATCAGAAGCTCTGGGGTAGAGCCAGGAATCTGCACAGTTAAACGCTCCTGAGAGCTTTTGTGCAGTCGGTGGACTAGTGTCTGGGAGCCCTGGCCCCACACGCAGGAGCAGTCAGTCCGGGTGAGGTTTGAACTAACAGAGAACCAGGGCCAAGGATGGGAACTGGGCGTGGGGGTAACATCAAGGTGCTTGTGTAGGGGTGTCCCAGGCTCTGGGTGGGGTGTGCACCTCTGGCCAGTCTGGGTAACTGGAACCAACGGCAGGAGGAACTAACGGACTGAGAGTGCCCAGGTGTTCTGCCTGGGGGTCTTCCAGGCCCAGGAGAGGCCCACAGCTCCATCTCCCTTGTCTGCAAGGAGGTGCCCTGGTTTCACCTGCTCTCAGTCCACGAGGCTACAGACCTCTCTGGAGACTCTGCCCTCTCCCTTCCCCAGGCGGCTGCTGACGTGAGCCCAGCCCTGGCACGCCGCCAGCCACCCTGGCCTGTGAAGTAGGGCAGATGCAGAGTCTGCCAGACCGGGTGAGCAGGCAGCTCGGAGCCCGGCCAAAGAAAGGCCTTCCCAGGGTCTGCAGGGGAAGGGAACGGGAGAGGGCTGATCAATACGGCATTCTCTTCCCAAGCTCAAGGCTGTCTGCATGGCCCCAATTGCAGTACCCAGAGTCAGGAAATGGGGCATGTTTGGCTGACGTCATTTCTGGCTGATTCCAGCTGCCAAACACAGGCCCCCTCCACGACCCACTCTGCACCCGTGGCACCAGTCAAAAAATTCTACCCACAGAACCAGAATCTGGGGAGGCAGTGGGGGGAAGGCCACCGAGGGGCTGCCAACTGGGACAGGGCCAGAGGCCAGACCCACCTCTCCCCTCTGCCCATCCCAATGCCCCCTCCTTCTCAGGCCTGCATTCAAGTGGTCTGTGCTGACTGGGGAAGTGGCTTCAGACATGCCCTTAAATCCAGAGTCTCCCAGCCAGACAAGCCCACTGCAGCAGCCGTGTCAGAAAGGCAGAAGACAGAACGCTTCCTGGTGACAGCCACTCATCTTCCGTCCCCACTGTGTCCCCTCTCCTGACCCCTCTCCAGCAAAGCGCTGGGCCTTTGTTGCTCCCTCCTCCTGAGGACAGCTGGGTTGCCAGGCTGAAAGCAGAAGCTGCCTGAACACAACCCCACCTTCCTGTTTTCTAAATCCAGTGAGGGCCTCTCGGCAGGGCGGGGCAAAGCTGAGAAGGAGAGGGGCAGCAGGTGACTCTTGAAGAGAAGCTTCAGGGCTGGAAAGCGGAAGGAGGCTGGGGCGTGTGAGTAATAAGCATGCACCAGGAGGTGGGGAAGCTCGAGGACTCCAGCCTTGACACGATCCCCACGTCTGTCCAAGTGGAGGCCTTAGAGGACGGCAGAGGTTCCTCAAGCCACAGATCAGCAGTGAGCGGAAGGGGGCCCCCAGACAGGAGTCTGCCCCAGTGGGCTGCTTCGCATAGATTCCTAGACCTTTGTGGGACTTTGGGCGGCAGGGTGACCTCAGACAGGGAGAGGACGGAGTTCTGGGGATGGCTCATCTGGAATTTCCTTCCAATCTGGCAGGATGGGGACAAAATCCATGTCTAAAAAATAATCCGATGTAATGTTTCATGCACCACTGAGTTTCAGAGCCAAGTTTCCACCTGCTCCGACTGCTCAGTGATGAAGACCACAGGCAGACCTGGACGGGGCTCCACTCCACTGCTGCCAGGCCCTGTGGCCTCAGGCCTTAAGTGACTTCAGCTCTCAGCCTCAATTTCCTCCCTGTAAAATAGGGCTAAGGAGAGGCCCTGCCCAACCAGGCGCTTGTGAGGATTTGAAAAGACTATGCTTCTGAGGGTGCAACTCAGTGCCCGGTATGCAGCAAGCACCCAGGAAGGGGTAGCCATTGTCACCCAGTGCTTTTCTTTTCTAACTTTCCCTGCTGACCTGCACCTAAGTAAAGGACACCTGAAATACTGCAGAGTTCCCCCAACCCAAGTCCTAATCCAACACACACACACACACCCCTCCTTCTCAACTGCCCCCCCTTCCCCTCCCGCAGCATGTCAGGGCTAGAAGGACCTTGGAGGTTGTCTAGTCCAACTTCCTCATTTCACACAGATGGAAACAGAGGCCCAGAGAGGGAAGGAACTGGCCCAAGGTCACACAGCAGTCAGAGGTAGGGCCAGGACAGAATCCCACGCTCCCGAGCCTCTCAGTCTGGGGCTTTTGCCTGCACATTCTCACACTGTCCTCCCCTTCCTCTTCCTCTTCTTCCCTGTTGTTCCTCCTCCCCAGTGGAGGCCTCCTAAGGAAATCTCACCCTCCTTTGCCATGGCCCCTAAGCCTGCAGGGGTCAGCTAAGGTCCCATGTCACCCTAGACCCTTTGAGGGATCTAACAAGGTCCTCCTCAGTCTGCTTGTCACCTGGGGTGCTTCTGGGGGTGTGGATGGACAGAGTTTTGGGGTACGCCTTGGAAGGCTGGTCTCCCTCCCTGCCCTCTGCACCCCCCAGCCCCCATTCACAGGTCTTGCCTTCTGGCCTTAATGTTTGCCTGTCAGGTGGAGCACAAGGTCCCACAGCCCGGGGACAACCTGGCGCTTCCTGTGGGTCCTGCTTCGCTCGTTCTCTCCACCCTCCCTGAGGACAGTGCTTCTCCCTGGACCACAGACTGAGGCTCGGAAGACTTTGTCAAGACTTCTGACATCAAAGCTGGAGGTGAGATGGTGCGTTTTCGGATCTCTGATTTTTCTCTGCATTTTCCCACTCTGCTGAGCTCGTGGGAAAGTGGAGAAGCAGTTAGCTGAGCTCCATTTCCTATCAGGGACTAAAAGCAAATACTAAACATCCACAGGAGGCCCCATTCTGCCAGCAGAGGCCTAGCAGACAAGCCACACGTACATACATGACTGCCTGGCAGGGTCCGGGAGACGCTCCCATCACACAGCTTTACTTTGGGGATCCTAGCCCTCTGCCTCTGCTGGCTGTTAAAAGAGCCAGTCGGTGGTTCGAGCGGCCCATCCACTGAACAGCACTCACTGGCTTTTCTGTCCCTTCCGTGAAGGCTGGTTCTGCATGTCACTTTCACTTTCACATGCCCCACCCCTAGTGTGGCGCCCAGCACACAGTAGGCACTGAACCAATAAACTTGCTCCCATCAATAAATCAAGCAGCTGCTTGAAGTGAATACCCATTTCAGTCAAAACAGGTAATCCCGTAGCATTCAAGGAAATGCCCAAACCATGGCTTCTCCAACTTTTCAGCTAAAACTGCTCAATGACAGAAGAGCATGAACACAGGCATGTAAAGAATCAGCTCTCCTCAACAGAAGAGAGCTGTGTTTTGTTTGTTTGTTGAAATCTCATATTTGGTTTTAAAGTCGATGTGAATTTCGCATTTAATATATCTGGATTTCTACTGATGTAATAATGATCTAACATCATTTCTTTTCCCAAAATCTTTGAGCAAAATTGATACGTCACGAAGATGGCCATGAAATGCTATGGCTTTGTGCACCCCAGGAGCCAACCGGCACCGGCCTAAGTCATTCTACAGGAAACACTTTCAGGCCTCCTGGTCGCCCATGAGCAATGACAGGCTCCTTTGCCTTCTCCCTGACAGCAGTGCTTCCCAACACTGTGGGGAGCAGGGATACCTCAGAAAATGTGAGCTATGGCCTCTCTCCCCAGAAAATGCAAAGCAGCACATAAACTCAACATTTTGCATATATCTGCAGGGGGTTCAAAGACTAACATCCACCTTAAAAACCCTCAGTCTGTCTCCCTTGGGTCCCATGCCCCAACACCACTGTGATACAGAGAAACTGCTGCCCAAGAGCTTGGGATCGTTTCTCACGGAGAAGAGAAAGGGATGGTTAGCGACACGGCCATCAGAAGCAGGCACAGTGAGGGCGGCAAGAGGCTCCTCTGCATTCGTGAGGATGGGGAGCCCACTGGAAAGACCACCTATGGATCAGGAGGCTCAGACTCAGGTGCTTGCAACCCCGCCTCCCAGGGAGTCTTCAAATTAAGGTTGAGCATTTACTCCAGAACAGCTAAACCAGAGGGGCCCGCCCAGTGGCCAGCGTGGACCAGGCCCCTGAGGTTCTCCTCCCTTCTCACCAGAAACATTTCACCTTTTTCTTTCTTTCTTTGTTACCACCTTCCTTCCTCTCTTTTCCTGTCAATCTCCTCTTCCTCTTTTTTTCTCTCCTCTGGCTCTGCCTTACTCTAGAGTTGAGCAAATGGCATTACCAGACTCCAGATAGGAAAACCGGGGCTTGTCAACACTTGAGTTAGATGCTGTCGAGACCAGAAGCAGCCAGATGGATGAGATGAGCTCAGAAGGAGCCCTCCACCAAGAGTCTAGCTCCCAAATCCCAGAAACCCGAGAATTCGGAGAAAATCAATCACACCAAAGGTAGGAGTGCCATTTTGGAGAATGACCTGAGGAGCCATTGAGAACCAGTGTTCCTCAATATCGCTGAATCCATCAAGTGGGGTGAGGGGCAGGGCCCACTGCTTCCTCCAATGAGACGTTCTCCTTACCTTGTAGGATGGGGTCTCTGTGCCTGCGTTCTCAGCCTGCACAACAATATAGGCATGTAAGAAGTTGGAGGCAATCATATCTGGGACAAATGGTGTATTTTCTTCTTGGAAGATGATGGCCACAATGTCATTCCCAATGTGTCTCTTTCTCTGGAGCTAAACAAAAAGTGTTCCATTGTTATAAGCCAGTTAGGAACATCCTGAAAGCAAAATAGGTCTATACAGGAAATCCTCATTATTCTATCTTTATACATAAACCCTGGCACTCTGAGACCTAGCTCGCTAGGGAGTTTCTCTTGCAATCTTTAGAAGCCATCAAAAAGAAAAAAAATGGAGAAGATGCTGAAATGGTTAGGCAGAGACAAGCAAGCATCTTACTGAGCTCAACAGTGCAGAGCCCTGACTCAGGACTCAAGGAGAACAGTTAACAGGTGAGGGCTGGGTTTTGCCCTGGTAGAGCCTGTAATTGATCCAGGAGAGACGCAAACACAGGTAAAGCCACCTGAGAACACTAACAAAGCCACTAGCCAGCAAGTGCTAAATCAGCTGCTGCAGACAAAGTGCCTGACTCTAGGGGCCAAGAAGAGGGCAAAACCAAAGGCCTGATGGCAATCTGAGAAGGCTTCCTGGAAGAGGAGATGGGGGCAGGCACTTGATGGAAATGTGGAAGAGCAGGGATGAGGGGGTGGATCATTCTATACCAGAGGGGAGAAGAGCCACGCTTAGAGAAACAAGGGGCACCTGGCTTGGCAGAGGTCACAGGGGAGAGAGAGACCTAACTCCGATTCAGTATCCCAAACTGTGCCAGGGGCTCACAGGCAACCTCAATCACCAAGCACCTACTGTTTGTCAGGACCTGTGCTGGGCTGTTCACGTGCCTGACTTCAAATGTTAAGACTCCCCCCATACCAAGTCCTGGCTAGATGCTTATCTACACATTTGTCCCTTTATTAAGCACCTACTGCATGCACACCCTATATTTCACATGAGTTTCTCAATTACTGAGCCACCTGCTATATACTGAGCCACGAGCTGAGCACTTTCACACAGATTGCCTCATTCCACACACATCATCCCATTTCTTGGGAAAATAAAATTAATATTTATTCATTCCTGGCTGTGAGCCAAGCTCTGTATCCCTCCCACTGAACATCCGTGAGACGAAAAGAGAGCCAGGCAGAGAAGAACCCTCAGCCTCGGGCTGGTGCAGCGAGTGAGGGCAGCCGTGACAGAACAGAGATGGAAGGTGAAACGCTGAGAGAAAACCTACTTTGGATACAAAAGGAATCCTGCTCCCATTTGTTTCTAGAACATTCAGTAGTGATTTTAGAGCCAAATCACAGTCTCATTTGCCAATTTCCTTTTTCCCTAAGAAGCCAGGCACGATGTTTACAACTTCACATCTGTGCTGCCTCCCCAGTTCCCTGCACAGAATTGAACGGTCAGGGTCTGGTGGATGGTCCACCTTCCTTTCTTATTTTCCTGGAGACGGTGGGACAGGGCAAAGGGTGCAGTAGCCAGGACCAGCTGCTGGCTTCAGGGGTCCATGAGAAAAAAAGCCAGGCCCTCCCTGGGGACACGCAGCTGTCAGAGGCAGCAAATGAGAGAGAGGGCAAGAAAACACTGGAAGCAGAGGCCTCAACCAGGGCTCCCTGGCTGAGGCAAAGGCTGAATTTCTGCCCACAGCAGGTGTGCTGAGAGATGAGGCTGAGAGCAGCAGAGCTGGGAGGGGGAGGGACCGTCTCAGGCAATAACCAGCTGCACATCACCGGGGCGGGAAGGCAGCCAAAAAGCACAGTGGCCTGGATAGTGACCAGCTGTTAGGTAGCAAGCCTGCCACAAGCCAGGCATGGTACTGAGCCCTACATTCAGAACCTTATGTAATCCCCACGATGACTCTGTGATGCACGTGGTGTTATCCCCATTCTACGGGTGAGGAAAATGAGGCCACAAGGTTACCCGGCTTGCCCGGAGTCACATATCCCTAAGCAGCAGAGCTGGCTTCAAGCTGCCATCTGCAGACCCTGTCAGGTACTCTTCACCATCACCCTCCATGATCAAAGCACCCGGGCTCTGCCCCTAATCTGGGAAACAGTCTTTTCACCGTGCAGAGCTGCTGTCTCCCCATTGGTCAAAGCGGAATAACCACGAGCCCTGTCCTGCCTCCTGCACAGGGCTGCTGACCGTGGCCTTGGTGAGATAACACAGCAGAACAGCTTTGATGAGGACGCAGCGGAACAGTCTGGCCTCTTGATTATGAAAATGGGGAGGGGGGCCACAGTCGCTCAGGCAGACCAGCCCAGAAGCAGGCCTTCACCTCACACGCCCCGGGCTCCCACAGCCCTCCCGAACCAGCTTACCTGCTGGGCATCTCCCTCGGTAAACGGCAGCTTCGTGGAGACGTGAAACATGATCTCCCTGTCCCGGAATATCGTGTACACTGATTCCACCCCCGTCTGTCCGTGGGTCACATCCAGGCCTCCTCGGAAACTGTCAGTGAAACAGGGCAGGTGCCGGGGAGAGAGAGTGAGGGGAAGTGGGCAACTTGGGGCGACCTCCCCAAAGAGAGTAGGAGAATGAAGGAGAAGACGTGTGAGAGTTGAGGCAGAGAGGTTATGAAGCGTGAAATACAGGTAGGTGGGCTCTTCTGAGCAGACAAGCCCTGGCGTTCCAACCATAAATCCATTATTTAAAAGCCAAGGCAGAGTGCTTAAAATTCCACGCACTCCACTTCAGCGGCCCAGGTTCACAGGTTTGGATCCCAGGTACAGACCTACTCCACTCACCAGCCACGCTGTGGAGGTGTCCCACATACAAAAAAAATAGAGGAGGATTGGCACAGATGTTAGCTCAGGGCTAATCTTCCTCAGGAAAAAAAAAAAAAAGACCAAGGCAGAACCTCCATTTCAAGCCTTGGCTGTGTTCTCTCCACACCATATGGTCTTGTGGGAAGGGAGATCGTTCATCCATAATCCCAGACAAATGTCGTCCCAGGTGCCAGTGGCCCCCAAGGCTGGGCATAAGCCTTTGCTCTCTACAAGGCCATGTCCAAGTCCTCAGCCCAGAGCCAGGGCAACCAGCCATCCTGTTGGATGGTGGTGAGCCCACGGGAGCATCTGGCGCCAGCGAGGAGAGGTGACAGATGCTTGACTTCTACTCAGCCAGTCCCTGACGTGGAGACTCAACCAAGGCAGTACCCAGCTTGGAGGTACCCAAGGAGGCCCCTTCTCTGGCCATCTCCAAACAGGCAAGAAAGAAAAGAACTAAGGACCTAGGTGGTCTTCCGGGAGCCCCTTCTTCCTTTATGGCTGCTAGCTGTGCATCATATTCTTCAGCAAAGAGAGGAAGATGCAGGTTCCTTTAATAAAATGAAATAAAATAGACCCTGGATATCGGTCCCCTCAGGCACTATAATACAAGCCAGAAAATGTGCTCAGCCGGGCACAGCAGGAAGCACACTAGGCTGGGAGTCAGGCGCTCCAGGTTCTAGACCTGCTTCTGCCACTAAGTCAGCACATGGCCACGGGCATTTCACTGCATCCCTCTCGGCCTCAGTTTCCTCTCTCTACAAAATAAAGGGACAGGAATATATGATCTCTGGGGTCCTTCCTGGTTTTAATAGATTTTATTTTGTCTATTCTAAGACACACCTTTTTTCACGTTTTAACATCTCTGAAATCAGGACACACGATGGCGTCTCAGAGTGGATGAAAGTGGTATAACAAGGACAGTAATGCCTACCAGCGCTCACTCTGCGTGTGGCACTAGCTCAAATGCTTTGCATGCATTATCTACGTTATTTCCCGACAACCTAGTGGGGGAATATTATCTTTACCTCCCTTTTCACAAGAGAAGAAACTGAGGCTTTCAGAGGTCAGTTCACTTGTTCAAAGTCATAGAGCTAATAAGTGGTGGAGATGGGAGTTTAACCCATGTGCGATTGACTCCAGACAGCAGTGATGACCTTGAAGGGAGAGGAAGACAGAGGAAGAGGGAGAAAAAGGAGAAGGAAGCAGAGAAGAAAGTGACTATGGACACCTGCTACATGCCGGGCACGGAGCTGGGTGCTTCCACACAGGATAGGAGATCCTGCTAACGTGGCTGCCACAGTGGGGAATTCTGGGGGCCCAGTCATGTGCCAGCCACCAGGCATAGAACAGGCTGGCCAGGTCGGAAGGCCCTTCCCAAACGTTGCTTTTGTCAAGGAAAATCGAGGGCCAGAGTTTTCCAAGCAACAGCCCCAATTCTTTTTGTCCACTCAGAGAACCACAGACTGTTGCATAGCTTCCCGCCAGGAGGGTTATTATATTTCCACCAACTCTTAATTATCCATTGCTTTTGTGTATTGTCTAAAATAGGTCATTTCCCCCAAAACTGCACAGGGCCCTCTTTCCTGAAAGCCTGGCAGGTGAGTGATGGGGAAGATGGATTCATTTCACTCTCAGTCTGAACCAAATGGAATCAGGAAGCCAAATCCGAGGTGGAGCACTTTCATCACGCACCCGAAGGCCAACGTCAATCCCTTTCAGGTCATCTGCCATTCTGGATTATCCCCTGGACCACCATTTCCTTAGGAACGCAGGGAAGGGAGTGTGATCATCTGCTGAAAAACAATCCCAGGTTCTTCACATGTGTTTTTAACTCTCACAAGCCCTCCCTGAAGCTCAGCTGTCACCCCTTGGCCTTCCTCTAGGGCCTAGACAAAGGGGCCGGAGTGATCCCTTGGCTAAAACCCACCCTTTGAAGTCCTGCAGCATGATTGTGTCTCCCAGAAGGTCCAAGAACTCCTTGAAGGCTGGGCTCTCCTCATTATTCCCAAACAGCTCCTCCTCCAGGGTCTGAAAGAGAAACAGGAACAGGGGCAGGAATTAGGAAGAGCCTTCCTGGTGCCAAGGGAAGCAACGTGGTTGTCCAGATCCCTGGTCCCTTTCTTCCTTTCTCCCCAGACCCAACACATTCACCACCCAGTGGCTCTGTCCTCAACTGGAGGAAGGACCCACAGAGGCTCACTCAACAGAGCTGGGTTTTCAGGGCTGGTTAATAAGGACTTTCTATCTGGACAAAGGCTGCTGGTCAGTACAAAAATCAAAGCTGGAGCAAAGAGTTCTTACACTTGCTACCAAAAACACAATCTATAAATGAAAAGTCAATAGTTGGACTTTTGACAAAGGACTTGTATCTAGAATATATAAAGAACTCTCAAAACTCAATAGTAAACAAAACCACAATGAGATATCACTTTACACCCACTGGGATGGCTACAATCAAAATGAAACACAAGAAGTATGGGTGAGGATGTGGAAAATCAGAACCTTCATATACTGCTGGTGGGAATGTAAAATGGTGCTGTCTCTTTGGAAAACAGTCTGGTAATTCATCAAAAGGCTAAGCACAGAGGTGCCATATGACCCAGCAATTCCACTCCTAATAATATACCCAAGAGAAACCAAAACATAAGTCTACGCAAAACTGTACACGAATATTGATAGCAGCATTATTCATAATAACCCAAAAATGTCAACAACCAAAAGTCCATCAACTGACAAAGAGATAAACAGAATGTGGCGTGTCCATACAATGGAATGTAATTCCACCATGAAAAGGAATGAAGTGCTGATTCATGCTACAACATGGACAAAACTTGAAAACATTATGCTATGTGAATGAAGCCAGACACAAAGGACCATATAGTATGATTTATATGAAATGTCCAGAATGGGCAAATCCATAGAGACAGAAAGATTTGTGGTTGACAGGAGCTAGAGAGAATGGTGATGGGGAGTGAGCTAATGGGTATGGAGTTTCTTTTGGGGATGATGAAAATTTTCTGGCGTTAGATAGAGATGATAGTTGCACAACTCTCTGAATGTACCACAAGCCAGTGAATTGTATACTTTATTGAGATATAATTCACATACCACTGTGAACTGTATGGTATCTGAGTTATACCTCAATAAAATTGGTAGAAAAAATGTTTACACTTAATAATAAAAAAAAAAAGATCCAATTAGAAAATGGTCAAAAGACATGAACAGTCATTTCACCAAAGAAAATATACAGATGGCAAGTAAGCACCTGAAAAGATGTTCAACATCATTAAGCATTAGAGAAACGCAAACTGAAACCAGAATGAAGTATTACCACACATCTATCAGAATGACTAAAACAAAAAATAGTAACACCACAAAAGGCTGGCAAGGATGCAGAGAAAACAGATCTCTCATACACATTGCTGGTAGGAATGTAAAATGGGACAATCACCCCAGAAAACAGTTTGGCAGCTTCTTATAAAACTAAACATGTAATTACCATATAACCCAGCAACTGTGCTCCTAAGCAATTATCCCAGAGAAACGAAAACCTATGATCACTCAAAAACGTGTATACAAATGTTCATAGCAGCGTTATTCATAATAGCCAAAAACTGGAAACCACCCAGATGTCCCCCAATGGGTGATTGGTTAAACAGAGCAGGGTACATCCATACCATAGAATACTACTCACCAACACAAAGGAGACAACCATGGATATGCTCAAAGAACTTGCGTGAATCTCGCTGAGTGGAAAAAACCCAGCCCCCAAAGGTTATATACTGTATGATTCCATTTATACAACGTTTTTGAAATGACAAAGTTTTAGAAATTGTAGAACAGATTAGTGGTTGCCAGGGATTTGGGGACTGGAGTGGAAGGGAGCATGGAGGCAAGAGAGAGGCGGGCATGGTTATGAAAGGGCAACACAGCGATCCTTGTGGTGGTGGGGTTCTTCTGGATCTTAACTTTGGAACCTACACACATGATATAATTATATACAACGAAATACACCCCCCTAAAAACCGAGCACATGTAAAATGGGTAAATCTGACTAAGATCTGTGGATTGTATCAGTATCAGTAGCCTGGCTAGGATATTGTGTTCTACTTTTATAAGACATGACCTTTGAGGGAAACTGGGTAAAGGGTACACAAGATCTCTCTGTATTTTTTCTTACAACTTTGTATAAATCTACAAATATCTAAAAATAAAAAGTTAACTAACTTAAAAAAATAGAAAGCAAAGCTGAAAACAGTTGCAAGCTCTGCAACTGTGACAGGCTTGCAACACTGAGTGGTCCTCCCTGAGCAGTAGGCTCTGCCCACAGTGACAGGATCTGCAAACAGTTGAAGGCTCTGCAAACACCCACAGACAGCAACAAAACTGCAGACGACACAAAGACACTCCAGTCTGCGCACACTTCATGGGGAAAGTCTTCCATAAGTGATTCTTTAACACCTCCTTAACGCCTCCTTTACAACAAAAAAGAGCAGACCTCAGGTTCTATGTCTTCAAGAGGCAACAGAATCTAGCTAGATTTCAGTAACTTTGTTCTTTATAGTATTTCTTTTTAGAATTACCTTCATTTCACGTAAGTGATACTGATTTTCCAATTAGAGTAGTGACATAAAATTTCCTTTAAAAATGCTTTTAAGGTGAAAAAAACTTTTTAAAGAAAACATTAAGTAGTTAATAGGAAAGGTGTGATTAAAAAGTGTAATGGTGGCATACAGTGGAGCGAATAACAGGATCTTAGTTGTGGTTTGTGCATGTCTGAAGTTTGGGAAACACTGCTCGCTAACGGGGGTCTGCAAACTGTGGGCCAAGTCTGGCCTGCTGCTTGTTTTTATAAATAAAGTTTTATTGGAATACAGCCAGGCCAATTCATTTAGTATTGTCTACAGCTGCTTTTGCACTACAAAGGCAGGGTCAGCGCCTGCAACAGAGACAGTATGGTCTGTGAAGTCTAAAATATTTATTATCTGGCCCTTTACAGAAAATGTTTGCTGAACCCTGAGTATAGCACAGCAGGAAGGCATTGCAACTCTAGCCCACACACCGTTTGCCCCAGGTCATGAGGCCAGAGTGTCAGGGAACAGCTGCTTCCAGGCAACACACATCTTCTACTGGGAAAACAATCCAACTCATGCTCTGGGGTGTGCACCTCTCTCCAGGATTTACACCCAGCCTGGTATTAGCATCGTCTTATTTTTATACTGGCCTTGAGCTTGACCATGGACTCAGGGAGGGGGTCTTAGTCATCCCTGTATCCCCCACAGTGCTTAGCACAGTGCCTGACAAAGAGAGGAGTAAGGTGGGGCTTATTTATATCCGAAGACCAGCACAGGGCTTTCATGCAACAAATGTTCATATTAATTGCCCCCTTGGATACAGGTTTGCAAAACAACAATCTGCCGAGTTTTTTAAAAAAAGACTTTTATCTCGCCACACGCCCCCACCTCGCCTCGCAGCATCAGGTACATAAACAACACTCAGACTCCTTCTCAGAGGTAGATGGTTCACGTTCAATAATTATAACTTTGCTGGAACATGGGATTGTAATCACCTTATGAGATCTGCTTTGGTAAATTTCACAAGCAAAGGACTTTAATTGGGGGGTTATATTAGCAGAGCTGTACAAAATAAAAATGCAATATGTGAAAATAATTAGAGCGGCTACCTGAATAACCTCCCTGAAATTATAAGATTCATCTGTGTGGGTCTTTCAGCTCCTAAACTCTTCACTGTGTTTAAGTCTGTCTAAGTGAACACATGTCTCTGTGGGCTATTATCTTCAGACGAGGAAGTCAGCTATTAACTAGCCAAGAAAGACACTGTCAAGCAAAAAAAAACACAGATAATGTTGGAAGATGCGACCTACCATTAGCAGAGTCAAACTTTTAGTCATTAATTCACATAACAAAAAATTATGAGTGTATTTATGTAAAGTCACCATGCTAGGCTCTTAGATGATGCAAAGATGAAATGGGTGTGGACCCTTCTTTCAAACAACCCACGCGAGGAAACCGTGCGTTCAGCAGACCACTACTCAGGATGTTCATAAATGTTCACGGTAGGAGATACGGGAAGTTTGTGGTCAGACAAGTATGGGACATACTGAGTTCAACAAAGTCATAAAGAGTTCTTTACATTGGGGTTCCTTAGAGCCTTTAAAATGTTCCACAACTGACCTCCAACCAAGTCATTTGCTCACAGAGTACCTCATCAGTCTAGCGTCTCTCAGGACACACTTTGAGAAACATTATTCTAGTCAACTAACTCCAAAGCAGCATGTGCCACAAGAAACAGAAGAGGGTGAGCAGTGGTGTACTGATTAATTTTTAACAACCGGCTCTCCTAAGAGAGAAAACAGAAGCTCCGGGGTTTGCTGATTTCCGTGCCGTAAACACTTCCACCGTGGCTGATTTCAAGCTACCAACATGATGTCACTGAACTCAGAGCTGGGAAGAGATGCACACAAGTGGCTCCGGCACTCTACTGAAGTTTGGGGAGAAAAAGCTAAGTCCAAGCTGGGAGAATGGTGGGCAAGGAGAAAGCAGCTTGTGCTGATCCATTCCCTTCACCCAGTCTGACTTTTCTTCTGACCAACAGCCCAGAATTAAATATAAGGTAAGGTAGCCAGGAAGAATTAGAATTTACTGTATGAAAAACTACATTACCATTTAAAGAATTTGCAGGCTTTTTTGAGGAGTAGTCCTCCTTGAAGATTCTGCCTCCTCTAGTCTAATTTATATTTGAAATGTGATTGTTGTATTCAGAAAATGTAAGAGCCTAGTGCAGGGCTCCTGTGCTTGGGGGAGGGGAAAAGAGAGGCCCCAGTGAGAAACCACAGGATCTAGTGACCAGTAGGGATCTGTGGTGCTTACCTGCCTGGCTTTTTGATAAATGACCCCAAATTTGAATGTGTTGTTGACATCATGCTCATCGTAGGACACAATCATTTGGGAGGCCTGGAAAATGTGGGGAGAAAAAAAATCAGATGGTTTATTAACCTGGAGGTAAGGAAGGAAGCAAATTTTGGTGGAGGACATGTCCCCCTGATATGCAACATCCACACACGTCGAGGAAGAGAAAGGGTGAGGTCAGAAGCAGATGGTCAGGATGCAACTCCAAAGGTCTCAGCTGGTTCCCAGCACCACTCAGCTTCCCCCAGCAGTGGGCAAACCTCTGGATTACCATTCCAATCCCATCTGGATATGCCAGCCAAGGCGCAGGCACAGAGGGAGTCCAGCAGGACTCAGGGAATTAACTGTACCCCAGTGTTTTATCTGTGGTGTAAAAAGTGAAGCCAGGACCCCAAAACTGGTCAGTGAGGATGACGCCAGCTCTTATTCCACCCCTAATTAGCAGTACAATTTTGAGCAAGGCACTGCCCCTGCCCAGACTTCACTCCCCCTCATCCACAAAGTAAGAGGTCTACAAGGCGGACACACCCTAATACAATATGCAAAGAAAAAAAACCCTGAGTACTGCTTCTGCCTAATTTTCTATTGTTCTTCAAAAAGTTGGTGTCTGGGGATCAGAAACACTAAACTCTAATTTTGAATCTTCTGCTTTTACCTGTGTAGCTTTGAGTGAGCCACTTAACCTCTCTGGGCCTCAGTTTCCTCATCTGTTAAATGGAGATGTGTGGTTGTGAAGATTCAGTGAGACCAGGCACATAAAGTGCTGAGCACAGAGCAGCTATCATCATCATCATCTATGGAACCCTCCAGAAAGATCAGAGCTGAACCAGCTTGTTAGAGAAGATTTGGGTGCTAGTGGGATGTTCTCTGCAATAAAAAGGAGGCACTCCAGGCACACTTCCTTTTATGCAACAGGAAGAGCAAACCAAGCACGACCTGCTGACGGGACCATGTGGCCCGTGTTAGGTTGTCACCCACCATACAGCTCTGTGAGGCTGTCAGCCACCTGAGGGAATGGACGCTTCTCAGCTCCCCCTGGAAGAGCGTGGCTACCTGCCCCAGAGGGAACCCCCCACTCCCACCCAGGATGAGTCAAAGGCACGGCAGCTGTCCCACCAGGGAAGAGGCACCTGGCCACGGAGACCTTCCAAGGAAACTTCTAAACTCTGCGAATTTTAAAAATACACACAAACACACAACTCGGCCAGATGAACATCCCAGCCGGACTAAGCAGTGTTTCAAAAACAGAAAACATGAAAATACAGCTGCTCTTCCATTATTACCAAAGTCGGAGGCTTTCCAAGTTATAGAGAGAATTATGCAAATGAGCATCAGTGGGTTCTCTCAGTGGATGTGATTTGACAACAAAAATTGCCAAATTTGCGGTTAAGTTAGGCCCTTATGATGGGGTTTTAATGTCTGGTTAAACCTCACTAATTCAGCTTTAATGGTAAAGGAGGGGCAGTCTGAATGACAAGAAATGTTCAGTGCAAGGCAGCATATTACTGCTAAGCGCGTACAGATGCTCAGAGGGCTAAAAAGACACGTCTGAGAGGACTCCAGCACATTCTCTGTGCAGGAAAGGACACTGCCATTAGCTCAGCCACTGTGTAGGGATAAATAGAGAGCCGTGCCCAGTCACGAACATTTAAGGCGTTTGTTCCGGGGGTTCTGGATGTCGAGCCAGGACAGGGCCTCTCTTCCCCACCAAACATTTCACCTCACAGTTCCTGGTTGTCAGAATCGGGACTCAGGGAACGGACCAAACCAGCCCCAGCAAGCCTCAGCTGCCACAGTGTTGGCCCACAGTGGAAGAGAAGCACAGCTCTGCCTTCCATCTTCTCTCCAGACCGTGCTGGCTTAGAAAGAAGCAGCCGGTGCACTGGGCCTCTTCCTGTGACCAATTTAAAGCAACTCACTGTCCACAGGTGATTCAAGTCCTGTCACGTTGCTGTAGTCCTTGAGTGGGCTTGTTGGTTTGTTTTGTTATTAATGCTCCTTTGCCCACCCACACCCCCACATCAGAACTGGGGTCAAGATCAGTCCAGTCCTAAGGAAACCAATAACAGAGAAATAGCCAGTTTATTAACTAGGGCCAGGGAGGGGCTTGTAAGGCCTCGGAGCTGTGGTAACATTGGCTATGGGGAGCCACTCCAAAGGCTAGGAGTGGCCTTTTATTTCTTAGTGGGGTTCTGCCTTGTGCCCCCCTCACCCCTCCACGATGGCTGACCAGATGTGCATCTGCCCCCCAGCTGGAAGTACTCCCCACTCCAGCACTGGCCTCCGGGAGGTGAGACCGGAGTGAGGCGGGGAAGCGGCAACACTGCCACAGCTTTGCTGCCTCCACAGCAGCTGGGGATCAATTCATGGGGGCCAGAGCCTCAGGCACGGCCAAGGATGGGTTCTCAGTGGACCGGGTAATGAAGGGGTAGGCAGGGAGAGGGGCACATACGGAGCTTTATCACAGACACTCCACGAAACCCCACCAAGATGCAGAGAACTTTCCACAGAGCCACAGGTGTGCAAATTCGTGCCAAGCTGCAGAGCCATGGGTAAGGGGAGGAGTGAAGGTCCTCACCTTGGGGTACAGGACAGGGTTGAATTTCAGCCCCACTGCGTCGTCACAGAAAGCCTAAGCAGGAAGAGAGATGCACACAGTTCAGGGGCCATGTCCATGGCGAGCATCCGGGCTCCTCAGCCCACCAAGAGAAAGCGCATGGGATGCCAAGACCTGCAGGGTCCGGAGGCCTGGGGTCAAATCCTGGCTCTGCTACACACCAGTGTGTGGTCAGAAAAGTCAACTGACCTTCCTGGGGTTTCCTGACGAAGAGAGGCTACCAAAGTTTTCGGCCCAATTCTGTCTGGGATTCGCGCGCCCAGAATGCAGGTGCAACCAACCCAGCTGATCATCCCTCTCACCCCAGTCTGCTGCCTCAGTTGCCAGGTTCCCGGTACCCCAGAGCAGGGACATGGGTCACTCCACCAGCTGATGGCTCCTCACCTGAGGGGGTCCTCCGTCTAGATCAACAGCCTGGCCATCCTTCAGCCCAACTCTCCTCTGCTGTGAAGTCTCCTCGGCCACCCCCTCCCCTTCCTCCTCTGAAGCCCCACTCTCCATATCCAGCCCTGCCTTTCCATTTCTCTTGCCTCCTGAACTAGCTGTGAACTTGGGGGCAGACACTATGGATTATCCTGAGCAGCCTCAGCAGCCAGGATGAGATGAGGAGGATGTGGGGAAGACAGAGGTATCTGCCAACAGCCCTCCCCCTCCCCCATCCAGGAAGCAAAGGGCCAAGGAGCACAGTGGCCTTCCCCTCCCCAAGGGCAGAGCCCACCCAGGACAACCCTGCACCCCATCCCAGAGGCCAGCCCTGGGCTAAAAGAGGAAGTCACCTTCTCTCAGGGATCAGTTTTTACCTTTGCAATCTGAGGGACGCTGGGCAACTTGCTCAGTCCAGCCAATGGAATCCGCTCATGCACTGTCTTCACTTTGGACCTGCAAACAGAGAAAAGAACGTCCATGAAAAATGGAGTCAATGGGGAAGGTGGCTGAGAACACGCCAGGCCACAAGGCAGGGACCCTTGCTTCATGTCTCCCCCGAGGTCAGGTCTGTCGCATTTCACCCAACCCACGTGTTGGGCACCACACTCAAATGGTGGGAAAATGGAATCCTACTTAGGTACCCCTTGAGAGGAGGATACAGTCATGCACTTTATCTGAGGGAATACGTTCCAAGACCCCTAGTGGGTGCCTTAAACCTCAGATAGTACCAAACCCCACATATATACTACGGTTTTTTCCTCTACATACCTACCTATGATAAAGTTTAATTTATAAATTAGGCACAGTAAGAGATTAACAATAACTAATAAAATGGAACATTTATACCAATATACTGTCATAAAAGTTACCATCGATCTTAGCAACCTCAGCATATGATTTTTTTTCTTTGCTTATTAACTCGAGAGCTTTCACCTTTTCACTTAAAGGAACCAGTTTACGGCTTCTCTTTGGCATATATGAATTGCCAGCATCGCTGCTCTTGCACTTTGGGGCCATTATTAAATAAAAGAAGGGTTACTTGAGCACAAGCACTGCAAACTGCGACACAGCAACAGTCTATCTGATAACCCAGACGGCCATTGAGTGACTAACAGGTGGGTAACGTGTACAGCGTGGATACACTGGACAAAGGGGTGATTCACACCCTGGGTGGGAGGGAGCGGGATAGTGCAAGATTTCATCACACTACTCAGAATGTCATGCTATTTAAAACTTATGGACTCTTTATTTCTGGAATTTTCCATTTAATATTTTCAGACCTCGTTAGGCTGAGGTCTAACTCTGAAACCTCTGAAAGAGAAACCACAGATAAGGGGGAACTACTTTACTTAAAGAACCTGCCTGGTAAAGCTGTCTGCAACTGAAATACAGGAAATGCAAAGAGTCATCTTCAAGTCCACCATTATGTTTTGGTTTGTTTGTGGGTTTTCTCTTTTCCCAAAGAATTGGGCACAGCTTCTGAATATATTTGGGTTCTCACATGCAATTAAACCTTTATGAAAAAAAAAATCTAATATCTGAAGATCTGGATTTGCTCAAAATATAAATGGGATGAAAGTTGCTTTATAAAAGGATTTACCATAAGACTAAATTTAGCCTGTTCCTCTGATTCATTTAGCACATTACGAAAGCACTGAATTTTACAGAATGCCTTTCTGCATCTGCTGAGATAATCACATGGTTTTTAATCTATTAACCTGGTGGATTACATTTCTGTTGAGCCATCTTTTCAAGCCATGGGTAAAACTTCACTTGCTTATGATGTATTATTTTTTCATATCCTGCTGAATTTGTTAATATTTTATTTAGAGTTTCACATCTATGTTCAATAGCAAAACTGGCCTTTTTTTTTTTTTTTAATTTACTTGTACATCCCTTGTCAGGTTTTGTTGTCAGATATTCTTCCAATCTCATAAAATTGCTGGGGAGCAATTTGTTGTATAACATAGGGATTTTCTGTTCCTTAAAGGTTTCCTAAAGCTCGTCAGTGAAATCTCTGGGCCTGCTGGGTTCTTTGTGGGAGGATACCTTTGGCTAACAATTCAGTTCTTTAATGGTGAAAGTGAAGTTATCTACTCCTTATCGTCAATTTTGGTAGTTTATTTTTTTCTATAAAATTATACATCAAATGCATTGATATCAAGTTCTTTGGGGTGTTCTCTTGGGGCTTCAGCTCTCTTTGTAGTTGTGTCCCTGCCTTCATGGCTGTAATACTATCCATTTGTATGTTTTCTCTATTTTCCTGAATCAGTCGTAGCTGAGGGTTATCTATTCTATTAATTTTTTCAAAGAGATAGCCTTTGGTTTTGTTAATCATCTCTACTCTTTTTTATTTTTTTTATTTTTTTGAGGAAGGTTAGCCGTGAGTTAACATCCGCTGCCAATCCTCCTCTTTTTTGCTGAGGAAGATTGGCCCTGAGCTAACATCTGTGCCCATCTTCCAGACTATTTTATATGTGGGACACCTACCACAGCATGGCTTGATGAGCGGTGCATAGATCTGCACCTGGGATTCCAACCGGCAAACGCCTGGACGCCAAAGGAGAGTGCGCCAACTTAACTGCTACACCACCGGGCCAGCCCCTCTATTCTTTATTTTTCCTTTCTATTGCACTAACTTGCTCTTGTCTTTTTTATTTCCTTCCTTCTATTTTCTTTGGGTTTTTTCTACTGTTCTTTTTCTAACTTCCTGACCTGTATGCTTGCTCATTTAATCTTTCATTTTTTTATGAAGACATTTAAAACTTTCTATCTTTCTCTAAGTACCACTTTACCTGCATCCCACACATCTTGATAGGCAGTCTTTTCATTGTCATTTAGTTCTAAATATTTTTCAGTTCTTTTGTGACTTCCCCTCTAGTGCACGAGTTATTTCAAAGGGTTCTCTTTTTTTTTTTTAACTTTCCAAATGTATGAGCTTCTTCCTTCAGTATTTTAATTGTTGATTTCTATCTTAATTTTCTTATATTCAGGGAACATAATCTGTATGATATTAATTACTTGAAATTTGTTGGCTTAATATATGGACTTTCTTTTTCATGTTCCATGTGGGCTTGAAAAGAATGTATTTTTTTTTCTTTTGTTGAGTTCAGGAATGTATGTTATGTGATCAAACTTGTTAACTGCATTGCTCAAATCTTCTATTTCCTCACAATTTTTTGTCGGCTTGGTCCATCAGTATCTGAGAGATGTTTCTGAAATCTCCCACCATAACTGAGGATTTGTCTACTTCTCCCTATATTCTTGTCACTTTTTTGCCTTTTTAAACTCAAGACTGTGTTACTAAGGGTAAGTTCACGACTATTAGATCTTCTGAGTGGACTGTTCTCTTTATCGTCACGTATCCTGAGGTCTCTGAGGGGGTCCCGTAAAAAATATCTTTCTCTGACCAGGTTACGAACAAATTCAGAAGCAAAACAGAAAAATTAAGAGTAAGGCAGTTGGGAGTTAAAATAACTCCTTTGTTACTGATAAAGGCCAAGGGGAAGCACACAGCTTAGAGTGAAGAGGAAATGGGTCTTCTAACTAAACCTCAGAATCAGCCACCCAGTCCCAAGCAGTGGGCAGGGGCAAGGCTCCTCTCGTGGGGTCTGCTCAGGTGGAGCGTTCACTTCTATTCATTCATTGTATCATCATTTATTACCCCTTTTATAGATGCTATTCATTCTTCATCTTTAAAATTTGAAATATATTTAAGTCATTTTGAAAGCGTACCACTATTCGCATTTCATCAACAGTAAATCCACCTTCATTGTTGATGTTTTTGGCTGTCTTTCTTAATGTCAGTTTTCCCTGGGTGTTTTGGAACATTCCACTCATTTTTCCCTACCCTCAGTGCAAGCACTCAGGTTCAGCTCCCATCAGGCTGTTGGTTCGCACAGCTCCGGGGGAACCCTTCGCATCGTGCAACCTGGTGGCCTGGATAATCACTTGTGACGATCACTGACTCACGGCAGCAGCCTGCTGACTCACCTTCCTACTTCTGGCCTTGCCTTCCCGCCACGCCATTCTCCTTACTCTAGCCAGTGATCATTCTACAAGCAAATCTGATCATGACATTTTCCTTTCAGGAGCTCTCCTACTGCTCAGAGGATAAAATACAAGTTCCTAGAAATAATCCATACAGGATTTAGCCTCTTCTGATCTCTCCGCGTGATCTCTCAACCTTACACACACTCACCCATATGCACATTCAGACACATTTCCACCTTCAAGCTCTTTTGAACTTCTCTTTCTCCCATACCATCGATCTTGGATCACCCTCACAAGAGTGTAATAATCCATGTCCATAAAAAGAAGATGAGTGAGAATGAGAACAGGAATAAGAATATCTGACACATTCTGACCGCTTTCTAGAGCCAGGTAATAAGATAAGAGCTTATTCTTCACGTCGTCTCTACCCCAAGAGAAAGTCCGGCACACGTTAGGCCTTGCTTGAACAAACACTAAATGAATAAATGAATTTCCTAATATTAACCATTTTTGCATTCCTAAAGGAACTCTTTCTTGGCTATAGTGAATTATTCTTTTAATAGATTGCTTGCATTTGAGTTGCTGGAACTGGCATTTTGTTTAGAATCTTTACTAAGATTGGCTCCTATTTTTTCTTTCTTTTTTTTTTTTTTTTTTGCATTTCATTGGTCTGATTTTTTCATGAGAATCTTTTAAGCATTGTTAAATTAATTGGGAAGTTTTCCATATTTTTCTTTTCTCTTAAATGGTTTAAATAGCATGAAATCTGTTCCTTACAAGTTTAAAATAACTATCTGCAAATGATCCAGATCTAGAAACTTTGGAGAGAGAATTCTTTGAGAACTTTTTCAATTTATTCTAGTTATTGATCTGGTAAGGTTTTTTTTTTACCTCCTGTTAAATTTGGTAATGTACACTTTCCTAGAAAGGCAACTGTTTCTTTTTTTTTCTTACAATGATTAAGATTTTGTATAGTCTGTTGAGATGTTGAGATGCTTTGAAATAAAGCTCGTTTTATCTTTTTTATGGAGGTAACTGGTTCATAACATTATATAAATATCAAGTATACATCACTGTATTTCAAATTCTGCATAGACTGCATCGTGTTCACCACCCAAAGACTAATTACGCTCCATCACAATACACACGGGCCCAGTCACCACTTTCACCCTCCTCTCTCCTCAAAAGGCGTCTGTTTCAAATAAAATTTCCAATATAATAGCATGGGTTGAACATAACATCTATTAACATCTATTAGCAGTTGTCTAATCTTCTTCACATCTGTGGTTATATGCCTTTTTCACTGCCTAATTTTGTGTATTTTTTGCTTTTTATCTACATTTCACTAGCTAGTTACCTGTTTTGTTACTGTTTTGTTCCCCAAAAGAAGTAGCCTAGATTTATTATCAAGTCTTGTGTTCTTTTTCTCATTTATTTGTTTCAGCTTTAATCTTTGTTAA